CACATCACCCATCTTGTGCCGATTGGTCTTTAAAAATTTGGATCTAGCCCTATATGCCCTATACGCTTAAAGTGGCACAGGAACTGAACAACTATGGGGCAACCCATTTTCTACGAAGCTAGAACTGTGATGACCTAATCAGAAATTTCAGCAGTAGATTTAAAGAAACATTTTTCCTTCTAGAGCCACAAACACAAAACACCACAATGGAAGCAATCAGCAGCTGGTGATCAAAAGCATATACGACTACCTGATATTGAGGCAATGGGTGGAAGCTTAAACATTGCTGCGTCAACAATAACAAAAGCCACAACACTTGATGACAACACAACACTGAGCTATAACACAACATCTGTTCACTTTATTCTACATAAAATTCACAAGACTATACATCTTATAAAGACACTGCAAATGTTATTTAAATATATTTAATTCATTATCTCCCTTTTTACCGTACAAAAAATGCCCACCCCTTTCCACCCATTATGCAAGAAAAAGATGGTTGGAACCCACCGTTGTAATAACAAATGCAATGCTGCAGTTGTTAACTATAAGAAATCTGTGTTCTATTTTGTTATGTTGATCTGTTTTTGTAGTATGCACTTGAAAATGAATAAAGTGAACTATGCCTGGCGATAAATAGTGCATTCTAGTGTTTGTATCTTTACTATTCAAACTTACTCGTGACAGGGAAGCTGATGTGGTGTAGCTGCTAGAGAGGTGTCTGCAAATCAGAAGGTCATGTGTTTGAGTCTGAATGGAACCAGACTTTAAAAAAATAACTTTTGCTTCCATGCCGACCCAGCCTTAAGAGGGTACCAGGTGAAGTGCTGGCAAGATGTTGACATCACCCCCCTCCCAAGTGTCCACTGGTCTATAAAATTAGGTCTAGCTCTATATGCCCAACACACCTGAAGGCATGGAAAAGTGACCTTTACTTTAGCTTTACCTGTGACGGATCATTGCTGCTCATGTTTCAACATCCTATTTCACAATTTGTCTATCTACCAGATGCTCAGTTTCTAACAAGGCACTTTTGGTAGTAATCAGTGCACGCATGCAAACATTTTAGGTTTCTCAATGTTACTGTTAATTGCAAGGAAGATACAGTTGCAAGTGAAACTCCAGGCAACGATAGAAGATGCATTCAATTGTTAAACCATGGTTTATTCATGAACAATTGGTTTGCACAAAGAGATATGTGACTGTTTAGGTCATCTTTAGCGATAAACATTTGTTATGCATTTGAGGTCTTTACTGGCAACTCCTAGTTGCAGGACTGCTCACGTGGGCCAGATTTCTTCAATCTGACATTGTAATATTTGCTGTGGAGACTTCCTTGATGCACCACAAACACGTGGCAGAGTGCGTGAGATCCATTAAGTACAGTGGGCTCTGAGTTTAAATTGTCCTTTTCTACTGTTAACGTGACTAATGATATTAATATTGCTATGTTCCTGGGCCATATGATGGTGGGACGAGGGGGGGGGGGGGAAACAGGAATAGACCCACTGCCTGCTCAAAAGCATGTCGTCAAGGGTTGACTATTTGGGAGCTTTCTTTAAAGTCGGAGTGCGTCTGCCTGAGAAACAAGGAACCAACAATCTGCATACACATGAGCCAGATCTGTAAAATAGATGTGTACCCAACACTCAGTCCAGAAGTGGACAAACAACCAGAAATGTCTGCTAGAGTTTACAGCCGATGAATGTAAATAAAAAAAAAAAAAAAAAAAACAAGAAAGAAAAATATTGCTATGTAGTTTTTGTTTGCACACAGTATGTTATGAATAAAGTCCTACCACAGCAGAAAACCACTCATAAAATTACACACATCACAGAAGTGCAAATCTAACAACTGTTTCATTGTGTTAGATAATAGCAGTACTCAAAAATATGGCTAAGACTTAGGTACAAGCTACAGTTTTATGTAAAGGACAAAAGTAAAATATTGCACAAGACTGAAGACTACTTTAGAATACGAGCGTGAAAAAGAAACAAAGTCTTACATTTTAGTCACCATGAAGTTTCATATATGAACTTGAAAATGTTGTCAAAAAACAGTGTATAATATATGATTGGTTTTTAAAACAAACACATCACCACAATGTAAATTCAAACATACACAACAAACACAATTAAGCTTTAAGGTTAAACAAAAAAGACAAGTATATTATCATAAATCATGGAGGAACAACTCAACATAGAGGAACAAAGGAACTAAAATTATGTACTAGGAACTAAAATTATGTACACAGAAGTCAGAAAGATGAGCCTGCAAGGTGGGTATAAAACAGGTACAGATATTCACAAGTAGGCAAACGGGCACAACCTGTAAGCACAAATGCAATCATTGACTAAATCTACGCATACATGAGTACTCACATACAGTGGATTCCTGGTACTTGGGGCAGCCAAGGTGTACCATAAACAATATATTTTAGAAAACTGCTCCTCACACAAGCAGATGTAGACTAAAAAAAATCATGATTCAGTTATCTGTGTGCGATGCTGTGAACCTTCACCAGGTTTCAGACCAACTTTCTAGAATGATTAAAATGACAACAGAAACCAAGCTTGAAATCTCTGAAATAACAACTCTTTTAAAATTCATGTTCACTGAACTATTAAATTCAACCAACATGTTTTTTGGCAGGAGGAATCCACACACATAAAATATCAACAATCTTTGATTGCACAGTCACAGGTGCTACAGAGCACTGTGCTGAGCTTCTTTGGACTCAGACCTGAGTTAGAAGAAGAACGGAGCACTTATGGGTTACTACCCGCATGCCATGATGTTGATCTGTTGTTAAAAACCTCAAACTGATCACACAGATGCAATAGGAAACAGATAGTTGAAACAAGAGTAATGAAATTATAATCTCTTTATGAAGAAATTTCTGTTAAAAGAACATTAAAAAAACAAACTGCTTACCAGAACTTTATGAAAGATACATTTTGGCAGCTCTCATAATCAACTGAGCAAAGATTCTGATCTTACAGAAGATATACCAAGTCTAACTGTTACACAACACATCAATCAATGACTCGAGTAATCTCAATGTTACTGAAACACCACAGTGGAAGGATAAGAGAACAGGGATGTTATTTAACAGTGAACACTCAGTACTGCAAGCTTTTTATCCACACTAAAAAAAAAAAAAAACCTTTTTTCAATAGGAAATATAATGGAACGTTATATAGTATATAAAAAAAAAAAGGCAAACATATGACAGTGAAATACTATAGTTTTCCTTTAATAAGCCCTAACTAAAAAAAAAAAAATTAAGATCTAACAGCGTCCCCCCCCCCCCCCCCCCCCAAAAAAAAAAACTGTAGCATGATTTTTCCGAATTTCTGTACTATAAGCTCTACTCCAAATATAAGACTTTACCCCCAGATAAACTGTGGCTTGATTTTTCCTATTCCAAATATAAGACCTAAAGCCCCAAAATAATTCATAGCATGATTTTTCGGTATGCTAATATAAGCCCTTGTGCTTTACGTTGGTTTCGACAGTGGTATCAAGAAAGCTGACCGTCCAGAAAGCAATGGCAAACTACTGGACGTAAATTTGCCTAGAAAAACCACACAACAGCCAGGGGCTTTTGGGGTTGGTTCTGCAACGTCCTCTAAAGGATACGCAACTAACCTTTTTAAATAAAAGCCCTACTCCAAATATAGGCCTTAACTAAGATCATCAGCAAGAAAAAGAAAGGATTTCGCTTGTCCCTTGAAACATGCAATAGATGTATTGAACTGTAAAGTTTTGAATGCATAAAAAAATATACAATTATATAATATTGACATTGATGTATGATAAATGAAGACTTTTATACATTAATTAAACATTAGGATATTCCCTGAAAAATAAGCTGTGAGGCATCTTTTAGAACAAAAATTAGTAAGACCCAGCCTTATGTTTAGGGAAACATTGTACAAGCTTTTTGTCTACAATCTCTAACAGGAACACTGGAGTGAAACTACACAACGCCATCGGCACTGCCACCATTTTACCACAAACAAAACTGTTCTCCATGTAACACTGAACTCTACAACAACTAATAAAAAATTTGTATATTCTATAATTTCCATTTGTCTTCTTTTATCTCAAAACATATATATCACTTTCATTTGTCTACTTTCATCTCCAGATGTTTTGTATATTTTACCCTTCACATGTGATAACTTTTTTCTCCAAATTTATCAATATCTGAATAGTCGGTTTCAATATTTTTTTTTAAAACTGATTATCATTACATGTCAAAACTTTATCTGTGGAACAAACATGGCTTACAGGACACTGCATCAAAACATGGCACAACAGTCAGATTCCAAATGAATACAATGCAAACAATATTCACATGACAATATCACTGAACAGCTTTACGCCACACTTAAACAGGAATACAGTTGTCACACTACAAAAATACTTCAGACATTTGCTATTGTTTACTACCAATAACTTCAGTAAAATACTTTCAGAAACTGTCATCAAGTTTCAATACATTCCATTAAAATTGGGACTGAGCACTTATGGGAGTGTCCCGAGTGCTGTGATGTCGATTCTTAATTCAACATTCAACAATAACATTTAATATAATTTTTTGTCTTGCACTTGCTTACTATCAGCCGTCTACATTACAAAAAAAATTATACAGTTTTATTTATTCATGAAAAATATGACAATGAGTTGATAATTTTTTTGGGTAATGAATAAGGCTAAAATATCTCAATATAAAAGGCAACAATAGTTTAACTGTCTATCTGTTTAATGAGAATGAGTAAATCCAAACATATAAATACACAATAAGATGTTTTGTTGAATCTTTCAATTTCTTCTTCGTCAAGATTTGTTTAAGATTTTTTAAAACAAACCAAAGCATGTGATGAAAAGAACAGATTTTAAAAATAAAGAAACATTTTCTTCTCATAGAAAAAACTAGCGGAGAAAATCAAATGTGTTTATCCTAAAAAATCTCAGTGCTAAAGACTAGTTTATTCATCTTTCTTCTTGTCTTCACTTTTCTTCTTAATATTACCAATGCGTACTTTCTGCCGCGTGAATTTTATTGTTGTTTCTGGACTGCGGTACAAGAAGATGAGTTTGGCGTACAGGTCCTCCTCCATACGGAACTCCTTCATCTCTCTCACCAGATAGATGTCAAGGCACAACTGCAGAATCCCGTCCACATCTGGCAGTTCTCGGAACATGATGGTCAAGTACTGATTGGTTGTGCTCAGACGCATCAGTCGTCCAATCAAAAGGATGAAGGAGATGTATAACCCGATAATTCTGGTGGTAGATGGTTATGTGGATAGAAAAAAAAAACACATGCATGAAAATCGATTGTGTTGAAATTCATGTTAACATGCACTAAAAAAACAATAATACATCCCTACTGGGAGCAAAATTGTGTTCAGGTCAAACAAATATTCTTCTTAACTCTTTCAGTCCCAAGGAACGCATCATATGTTCTCATAGGTTTCTACCTAGAAGCTCAGTGAACGCAAGATGTTCCGATTTTACATCTTTCTTGACTATTCCTTAGGTCTCAAATGCAAAACCGCCTGTGACTAAAGAGTAAGCATGTTTGTCTGAACGAAGCTTTACTGTACAATAAATTAATTTTTCTAGTGAAATATGAATGCCAGAAGTATAATAATATATAGTATTTTCATCACTGCCAGAATGATCCCCACCAGAGAATACTACACATGGAAAACATAAACCACTGCAATGAACCCACCACAATGGAAAACACGTAAGATAGATAGCTTTAGAGAAATATTAAGCAGATTAATAAATAAACTGAAAGAAATAGCAAGAACCTACAAATATGAAGTAAACAGAATATTCATTGAAATGGAAAGGGCGGGGAGAAGAATATGAATACCATATCAGCAAAGGCCAATGGACATCACCTAATGCATGCAGCATAGTCTGGCATATGATATTACAACATTCTAGCTTGGGAATGGAGGTGGAGGCAGTCAATGCTGGCTTTAGAACCAGCTGCACCCACATGTCGTAACTCTTACTCACTTAGAGCATGTTGAGAAAGGCAGAGACGGCTTTGCTCAGTGCAGAGCACCACTCTAGAAGCCATGGATGCCACCATATGAGAAGATGAAAAATAAGAATAACAGGAAGAAGATGATGAAAAAGAAGAGGAAGAGGATGAAGAAGAAAGAAGGAGTAGAAGACAAACTGGAGGAGGGCGAGGAGAGGGTTATCTTCAATGTTATTTTACTGCAGGATGTGGCTCAAACATGATACACAACTGAATTTATAAAACATTTAATGATTAAATAAATTAAAAGCAACATATTAGCACCCACAATTTTTATATTTTACACATTTGTTCTATTCACTATTAATGGTGTTTCAACTACTTGTTTAACTGTTGCCCCATTAATGCTTTCTGTTTTTTTCTGGCATTATAGTTTTTGGCAGTCGCCCCTATTCCTGTACAACAGCTCTAGTACTGTTTGCAACTTCATAATTCTGAGATGGATTTTGTTTAAATAAAAACTGACCAAGACCTAATTTCTTCTGATTTTTTTTCTGTTTCAATAACTTCTGAGAATGGAGTTTCAGAGAGTTACAAAAATATGTTTCATTCCAATGTGCTTTGTTAAAAGATATTTTAAAGATCTTTACAGGGCCAAAGAGTTGAACAAAATGAAATAACAAACATAAACATATCAGCAAAAGACACAAGTAATCTCAAAATAAATGCTGAACACAAACAAACAAGTCCCTGCTTCAAGTAGCAATGATAGCCTGAATGACATACTGCCCTCTTTTGAGCCTCTGATTTTCCCTGTTTGACTATGTCAAGAGTGATGTCATTTTCTTCAGAGATGACCCTATCTAAATATGGATGCTTTTTGGGAAATTCTCAGTTTGGCTAGTTTGTAATTTTTGGCCGTGTCAGTGACCATCACTTTCACATATGGAATTACTACGGCAATTTTGTGGTAAAAACCTGGCTACAAATTGAGATCACGTGGTACACGGATCATCATCATCATCATTCACTTCTGGCCACTAGCAGGAGATAGAGCATGCAGTTTTAGAAGACACCTTTGATTCTGTCTTTCCAGCAGACTAAAAAATCTAGCAGTATGGCCGTATAGTCTTCCATCTACATCCAGGTAAGCACAGTAATGATTACTTACATTGTGATTTCCTTTTCGGAGCCATATTTCACGACGATATTAGAATTATACCAGACAGAGGAAATACCACAAGAACTTGTTTCCGCTGCTGACATGTGGGTCTGAGCTAGATCTTTGAGATGCCATTCTTAATTCCTACTGTTCTGTATCCAGGGTGCTATTTCTATTTACTGTATCTAGGACAAAAACTATAGCAGAAGGCATGGTACCAGGAAGGAGGGGCAGGGGCCGACCGACACGAAGATGGGCACAGGATATAGGTGACTCCTTGAGTATGAAAGTACATGTGGCAGGAGAACTGGCGAGAGACCAAGTTTCTTTCAGGCAGACTGTGATGAGAGCGATGTTCTGAAAAGGACCTGCTGCATGATGATGATGTATCTAGGACTCTTAGGAACTTCTCCATTTCCTATTGCTGTTAGATAAACCATCTATGGCTGTTTATCATGGTTTGTGTACTCACTGGTAACATTTCAAGGGGGTGAGTGGTCTCGAGATATGATTTACGCCAGACTTCTAGTAATTTCCCTGGTCTCTGGGTAGTAAGATCGAATGCCCGTGTGTATTCTTGCGCAAGTAAAAAAAAAAAAATTCCATGGCAGTTGGAAATTGAAAAGAGCAGCCTAACTGCACTGCTCAGGCAAAATTTTGAGTTATAAATCTACCTAAAGTATTTCAGGATTCTCTCCAGTGCAACAGAGTTCATGCACTGAGCTGAGATTCTTCAGACAGGCTTGAGTTAGAAGAAGAACGGAGCACTTATGGGTTACGACCGTGTGCTATGATGTTGATCCATTAAATAAATATACACATAAACTGATAACATTTAATTGGAGATGCATTTCTCATGTTTATACTTCTATAATTCACCATGTTTACTTGTGTTTTAGTAAATGCTGGTTTTTGTTTTCAGGGTAGATACTCATGTGATTATTTTACTTATACACAGCCTCACACAGCTGTGATGTTGATGACATATTGTCTAAGAATACACTGGGAAACTGTTTTGTCAGCACTACAAAAGCTGGTTACAACCAGAAATGAACCACACAATGGAATATCTGGAAGACAGGAAAAGCTGCCATTTTAACCTAGAATCATCAATATTTATAGAGATATTCTACAGCATTATGTCAGATTTTGTGTTGCATTTATAACTACATATTGCTGTCCAAGCTTGAGGAAATATGCAGTATTACACTATCATCATGAAGGACAGACGATGGAAGACCATTCATCTGGACTAGACAGCAATCAGAAGTGGAAGCTATGTAAATGACAAGGCTATGTGACCATTTCCCACACCTTTGACAATATAAAGAGAGAAGGGAGAGTTGGGAATATATGTTTTATTCTGCAGAGAATTAGGGACAATACATTTTAATTGTTTCCCTCCCTAGCTGCTGAAAAGCCTAGGATAGATTCCTTGTTCCTTGTGACTTTTCGAGCTCCCAGAACACTGCCAGGCTGGTTGTAGGTGATGACTGAAGTGCCCCGAGGAAGGACTTGGTGAGTGAAACAGATCCATTCCACCTCAAAGTCAAATGGATGAGCCTCTGGGAAACCCCAGGTGGTAATCGTTGTGTGTTAATTCTCATTAACCCTCTCATGACGACAGTTCATGTGACCATCATTTCTCTCTCTCATATCTATTTAGTTTGAGGAGTATTTCAAAAGTACTAAATGATTTATATTTACTTATTTTTAATAAACATGTCTATGATTCATAGTTAAAGTTTAATTTGTATTTCTAAAAGTTGTTAGTTTCTTTCTCAGAAATACCTATTCTAGACGGGAAGGCTTAATTTAATGACAAGAAAGGAATATTGTCGGAAAGGATAATCTGCTCTGTCGAAGTTTAAGTGTTCTCTAGGCATCTAAATTTCCTTTTCCCTTTTCTGAGGATATTCAGGCAGCTCACTTTCTTTCACAAGCCAATTCGAGTCTGTATCTGAGTATCCAGAGACACTGTCTGCTCTTAAAATCAAAAGACAGTTGTCTCAGTTTCTGAATTGAATCAGGAGGTAGGACTTAAAGTCATTGTTGTGGAACAGGTTTATCATTCACTCACTGTGGTGGGTTTACGGGTTTAAGCTCAATCTCGTTTTTATGTAGATTTAATGGGGAGCATTACTGGAGATAATGGAGTTCATTGCTTTGTGCATCACTCCTGGCAGACAGCTAGCCATTCTGCATAGACTGAGAAATTTAGGATAAAACACAGTGAAATGAAGTTGATACCATCAAGTTTAAAACTTTGAGTATTGAAAGAGTTGCATATCGGTTTATCTTTAACATGTTACCTCCTTTTTAATTGAAAAAAATAAATAAACAAAAACAATTACAAACTATTCAACTAAAACAAAAAACAAAAAACAAAAACCCAATGAACCTAATATCAAATACTCAGAATAATGTTTACCACCAAAAATAGAGTCAGTCTGCTGAAAATGATTCTTCTATTTTGAGTATAACTCTAGAATGTAAAAACAGAAGCACACATAACAACATAACATACACACAATGCTAATAATAAAATACATTATAGAAAAAGTAAAGGACCCTTTGCCAAGCCTTCAGGCCTATTGGGAATATAGACCAAATGGCACTTGGTGAGTGATGTGGTCAGTAACACGCCCGTCGCCTTTACTTTCCAGGACTCTACCTGGTACCCGCTCAAGGCTGGGTTGACATGGGAGCCAGGGTCAATATTTTCATGTTCCGAGTGCAAGGGTGTCGGTTACATGTAATAATTATATAATTTCTCCCTGTGTGGGGTTCCGGGGGCCCACTGGGGGGGGGGGGGGGGGGGGAGACAAAAACAGACCTACTGTCAGCCCAAAAGCATGCTGTAAGAGCTAACTAACTGGGAACTTCTTTTGAAGTCGCAGTGCATCTGCCTGAGAGACAAGAAACCAACAGTAAGCATACAAATGAGTCAGATATGTGAAACAGATGTGTACACAACACTCAGGTTCTGGAACAGGACGAGTCCAGATGTGGTCAAACAACCAGAAATTTCTTCTGGAGTTTACAGCCAGTGAATGCGAAGAAGAAGAAGATATAACTTCTATTTAATCCAGGCAAATGAACATATTCTCCACAGTTTCAATGTAAACATAAGGACATAGTCTTGAGGCCTATAAAGTGATATCGCCAGTCGTAAGCATCTGTGGTGTGGACATCGAGAGAACGGACACTATGAAATACCTGGGCATGACATTTGACAGATGCTTGTCATACAAATGCCACGTAGACAACGTCATACTTAAAGCCAGGAAAGGTTTGACAGCACTCAAGGTGCTAGCAGCAGCTGATATTGAACAACGTCTACTTTTCCTTCTCTATCAAGGGCTTGTGCTTAGCGTCATTGACTATGGTCTTGGCCTCCTCACTGTCAGCAAAACCCAGCTAGAAAGACTGGACCGAGTACAGAATGAGGCCATGAGACTCATACTCGGCTGCACAAAAGACACCTCCTGCAACGTCATGCGTTATATCCTGGGTCTGCCGACTATGACAAGCAGATACAAAGTGGCACAGGTCAAGGCTTACATGAGGGTATCGGCAGATGTTAACCACCCATTACACAAAGCTATTCACGACACAAAAGGAACGCGTCTCAAAAGGGGCCGCTCTTGGATGGCAAAGGCTGAGGACTTAATCCAGCAGGTATGTGACCTAGACGTGATCAGCCACGGAAAAGAATGGACGAATACACCAGTAGACATGCATGGCATCTCTAAGGTTGTCATCACACTCGGAAGGTACTGCAGGGATCAAATTCCTGCGGCGGTAGACACAGAAGTAAGGGAACTGATAGATCAGCATTCAGACCCAGAAGATACCATCATCTACACAGATGGATCCGTGAAGCGCGGATCAAGATCAGCATGGGCATACACAGCGCAAAGAAAGGGGAAAACAATACATGAGGACAGCGGCGCTTACCAGACAACCACGTCAAGCATGACAATGGAAATAGCCGCTGCTTCTAGAGCTTTAGCATGGGTATCCGAGCAAACCGCCACACAGGTAGTAATTGTCTCAGACTCAATGAATATGCTTCAGAAGATAGCAACAGGCAGTATGCGCTCTGAATGGATAGAAAGCATCAGGAAATCGCACTTAACCTCCGTAACCTGGATCTACACACCGGGTCATGCGGGCGTGAAGGGCAATGAGCGAGCAGACCAACTGGCAAGCACTGCACTAATGATTGCGGGAAAAAGTATGGACAGAGCAGACATAGTCAACACTGTACGAACTGGGCTAGTGGAGAATGAGGAATCCCTGACACTAACACGATTGCGTGACATGGGAGTTAAGCATGGTGATGCACGTCTTTGCCGTCTTCGAGGCCGAGAAAGGAAACAATATAACCAGTTCTCATGGGGACAATTAGTAGAAGTACTTTAGAGTGGCTGCTGCTTCGGAGAACTGAGCACGCATGGGTATGCCCAATGTGCAGTGACATTAATTGTGATAACAGAACATAAAATAACATCTTAGTAGGGAGTCGGCAGTACGAAACCCAAGTTCAAGGTGTCTCCTTCGTGCCAAAGAACTGCATGGCTGTTGGGTGAACAGTCGTTAACGATGGCAGGCAGGTCGTTGTAGGGGCGACGCCTGCTGGTGGATGTAATGTCCTAAGTCCCTTCCCCAGCTAATAATGAGGGTACTGCTGGGGTGACCTTTTATTAACCCTCATATAATTCTTCCGGTCAAAATGGACGCTAGGTACGGCCACCCTTTTTTTTTTTTTTAAAGCCGTGGCAAATATTTTTTTTTTTTGTTTTTTTGCTAGACGGTGGCCGTTGCATTTTTGCTCCATTTGTAGACTGGAAGGATGTAGTTTCGTCGCCCAGCTTCTGAGTTGAGTGCATGGCGTGACACGGTGAGCTGCGTTTGTTTTTCATTGGCACAGGAGCGGAGCATATGTGGGGTGACCCGTTTGCTATGAAGCTGAAACTAGGATTACCAGATTACCAGATATCGCTTCACGTATACTGGGTGAAAACAGTATGAGATGTGGTGACCAGATTTATGGTATTGTGGCTTATTTCCTTCTCAGGAACAAAATATCCACAAACAGAACTATTCATCCCATCAAATTCATGTGAGCCTGTTAAAGGCCTTTGGCCTATTGTGAACTAAAAAAAAAAAAAGTAGAAGATGGGAGGATGAAGAGATGAAGGAGTGGGAGGAAAAGAAAAGTAAAGACAAATGAAACTATTCATCCCATCACATTTGTGTGAGTTGGCTGAAAGGCTATGGTCTACTGGGAACTAAAAGGCAGAAGTAAAAGTAACTGTACATCCTAGTTCATTAGGCTGTGCCTTAGAATTTGCGACAAGGGAATACTTCACACACAAAACTGTAGTATTTTTTATTACTGGATTAAACTCAACTTTTACATGCATTAATAAATATACATTATATGAAGGAAACCCTCTATAGCCAATTACGTATGGGCGCAGAAGATGCTAAGGTCGGCCTCTACTACAACAATATAAAGAAGTATGCAAGTGGGATATGAATGACACGGGTATTGTGGTAGATTTGTGGGAAGAAAATGTTACATGAAGGGGGAAAATGAGTAAGGAAATGGGGAAAAAAGGATGTTATGGACCATGTTACATAAAGGGGGAAAATGAGGAAGGAAATGGGGATAAAGGACAAAATGATTGCAGACAGCTGTGAAGCTAAGATTCCGAGAAGAAGCACATTGAATACATCTTACGGCAATAATGGTCCTGAATTCCCATGCACTAATTGTGAAAAACTCATTAACATGAGTAGGTCTGGCTAGTAACACTCCCCATAGATGTGATTCACTTGCCTCCCTATAGCTCAATATAACACTAAGGTAAGGAAAAACAAAAATGTGCCAACTAACTAACACACTTTTATATCAGCACATGACCTAACCGTATCCCCAGAGGAATGACACAGAATTTCCTATCAGCACACAACCTACTCGTATCCCGAGAGGAATGACATCGAGACTTTCATATCAGCACACGACCTACCCATATCCTGAGAGGAATGACACAGACTTTCATATCAGCACACGACCTACCCATATCCTGAGAGGAATGACACAGACTTTCATATCAGCACACGACCTACCCATATCCTGAGAGGAATGACAGAGACTTTCATATCAGCACACAACCTACCCATATCCCGAGAGGAATGACACAGACTTTCATATCAGCACACAACCTACCCATATCCCGAGAGGAATGACAGAGACTTTCATATCAGCACACAACCTACCCATATCCCGAGAGGAATGACACAGACTTTCATATCAGCACACAACCTACCCATATCCCGAGAGGAATGACACAGACTTTCATATCAGCACACAACCTACCCGTATCCTGAGAGGAATGACAAAGATGCTGGTGCCTTTCTGTCATTGAAGGTGATGACAAAAATTTGTGGGAACTGGACATCCGAGCTAGGATTGTAGTCAAAGATGCTGCCCTTCACAGTTTCATTCACATTCCACCACTCGCTGAGTCCATTGGTTGAGTCAGACTCTAACTGCAGGGAAATGTTGCTTCTGCCTATCCCATAACTTCCTGAATTAATTTTAAAAAAACCAAAAGGGTGATTACAATGGGAACATCTTTTTTTATTTCTTTATAATATTTATCAAGGATGGACAGAAAATGCAGTCCTTAAAGAAATAGATAAAAACCATGAAATGTTTAAAGAAATTAGTTATAGGTGGCAATATTTTATGGGAATCTTATAAAGAAAAATAATTATGAGAAGAAAATTAAAATCAAGGGAAAGGCAAAGAGAGAGAGAGAGAGATTTTTATCATGTGATTTGATAGCATAAATCATACAATATATTGAATGTTGAATGCTAAATTAAGAACTGACATCACACCACTCCGGTTATTCCCTAAAGTGCTCCATCCCCATCTTTAGCAGCAACAGCAGAGTTCCTTCCAATTCCTGGCACCAGTAACAGTCTGAATATCTCTCTCATCTTTCCCCTGAGTGTTGAGCATCGGACACATTCCCTGGTAACTCCTCGCAGCACCATTCTCCTACGACCCTGGTGATGATCTTTTTTGTGCCAGTACTCTGTTCACTTGCTCCCACAGGACCCTTACAACATCCATCTTGTCACACATCGATTCATCATCCATCACATGGTGCACAACCAGCCAGTCTGTCAACAAAGTGGCATAACCTGTAGAAAATACTCAAAGGACGCTAACTACTCAGGACCTTGGGAAAAAAATCTTTACTGATTCAGATCTGAACCCTAGACCTCCTGCTGGCAGGCGAGCAAAACTATACACAGAAAATATAATTACAATGGACATTATACATCCAAGAAGAGAATACACCAAAAGGAAATTGACATTATTGTCTCAATTTTAACCATGAGGGTTGAACAGGATATTATTTATGTAATTACTACTATTACCAGAACAACAGCAACAACAACAACATGGTATGGGGTGAACAAGATAATGACTTCACATGAGACTGGTGATTATGTCAACAAGCGACCCATGACAGTCAATGCTTATCAGCATGGCACATGATGATGATGATGATGACTTGTTAGAACCACCTAAAACATTTAGCCAACAGAAGAATGTCCAGACAGACTCAAACACTGGTACATCTGCAACAATAGGAGGTCTCTGTGACAACTGGTTAAACCATTTGCTTCACGCTCAGACAGTCGTGGAAAGGCTGTTCGTACAAACTAAACTAAAGCTTTTGTGAGCAAATAATTATAAATATGAATCCTTCAATGTCCAGCAGGGAATGACCAGGGTATCTGGCCAACACTCAACACTCAGGGGAGGGCAAGATGGACATACAGGGAAAGACAAGATGGACATCTAGGGGAAGGAACTCCTAAGATGGCAATGTTGCCTGTGCCAGGAATGTCAGTTCCTAACTTGGACCAACTTATCCCTCAATTAGATGTAAAATAATTCCTCTCACCTTTAATTAACTGGTCTAATTCCATTGCCTTCGACTGACCAGCAAGGCGAACAAATCGTGGAAAGACATTGGAAACTGAACTGTAGAGAAAAAAAAAAAAAGCAGAATGTAGTGACAATAATGGCCACTTAAAAACATTTTAAAAATCTGTTCTTTTTTTTGGACACATTTCAGTACAAGTGATCCAATGTCCCTTGCAATTATTTAGAGATCATAGCTAGTGTTTCTGTATGGATGTCAATCTGATTTGTCTATTCACACACACACACACACAAATTCAATAAAACTGATGAGGAAAATAGGAGTAGATGGCCAGGTGGCTTGAACTGGGCTCTGATGAAGGAGATGGGTTCAAATCCTTGGTAAGGTAATGCAGTTTTTCCTTTAGAGCCCCCCCCCCCAAAAAAAAAAAAAAAACAAAAAAAAAACACACTAGTCTGCACAGTTTATGGCAAGTGCAGCAGCCAAGCCCCCTATATCCTCAGGCTCAAGACTGGGGTGGGCAACCTTTTTGTTTTTTTTTTCAAATCTATGGGCCAAATTTAGAAATATCAAGCTGGTCATGGGCCGTAAGGAAAAAACATCCATTATAAACATAACAGCCAGATTTCCTTGTAATACAATATTTTTTGTGGGATAATATAAAATTATAATCCCTCAATTTGCCAGACACACTCACACACTGAAGCCCTTCTATATATTTATAAATGTGTATTCAAGCTGGTTATTTGCAGAAATCATATTACTGAGGGAAAGTAGGAAAAAAAAGGAGAGGGGAGGGGAAGGGAGTGTAGAATGACAGACAGTGAGCGATAGTGTGTGTGCATGTGTGTAATCTAGGTACTATTCATATCCACCACCATCATCCCGTCCTCAGACAAACTGACGCCAAGAATGGTAATCGAACCCTTTTGATCGATAAACTGGCTGACCCAAGAAAAAAGAACAGTTGTCACCTTATATTTTATTATCAAAATCTGCAGACAGACACAGTCTCCTAATGTCTCAGTATGTCCGCAACACGTGTTTCACAAGCAGAATCACAGATTTGGCAACATCAGTTTCTGGTTATCACTGTTTAGGTTATAACTATTTTGGAAATTGATATTTATTGTGATGAGGTGCTGTGCATGGTCTTCACGATTACATAGTGGCAAGCAGAAAGTCCGTGCAACAAGGGACAGCATGAGATACTTGTGCCTAGTCGAGGAAGCGAGGGAAACCCCGAGCTAGCCTCGTGGTCAGTCGATCATCAGAAGTCAGAGAAGATGGTTGTAGTATTTGAAGATGTCGTCTTTATGTTGCGCAAATGTTTAATGTTCGAATATGTCGCGAGTGATACAGTGTGAATAATGTTTGAACATGTGAAATAAATGGACCAGAATAAACTGACAGATTGCACAATGAAGCTGAGCGGTGTTTGTGTTGTCAACCCTAGACGTTAAAGCTGGTGCAAACCAAGGTTTATTTCAAGGTGCAAACCAGGCTTCATTACAAGTAGACCACGATTTATCCCAAGTGAAGCAGCGCTTCTTTCCAAGTCTACCTCTTTAATTTATTACAAGTGGGGTGCTTGTCCGAAGGAAATTCGAAACCACGCGGACCATAAGCATAGGAAAACATTTTTGTTTCTTCCAAGGTAAGATAAACATGCGGATAACAGTGTACATCGTCTTTACCCGAGCAGAGCCTATTAACACAGCAAGCGCCGACGGGTCAGCTACCGACCAATGAAAACCGGTGTGTCATCTACGCCCTGCCACACACCGGATCACTAAATTTTGTGAATTCAGGAAGTTTCGTGTTTACCCAAGCTACATATCAAAAATATTAAAAATCTAGTTTGTGAATTAAATCAGGTTTGTGACCATTATTGTTTGGCTGAAACAAGCAGACTATGAACTAATTTTATTTACAGGTACGATCAGTTTTCTTACTACGGTGACATTTTGTGCATCGATTGTGCGTTTATCAGAATGGCATCTAAACGGTTGGTAAAAAGTAAGAACACTTTGTCGCAAGTATCTTCAGCGACAACAATGAAAGATACATCGATTAGTAACCAGAAGATCAAGATGTGCATTTTTTGTAAGTACCAGCACAGTTCTTCGACTATCTGCGACAGAGATCCTAAACACGATTTATCCCAAGTGAAGCAGCGCTTCTTTCCAAGTCTACCTCTTTAATTTATTACATTTATAATTGTTTTCCTTTCTGCGTGCTAACATATGCATTCTGCTTTTTTATGAGCTCAATGGTAAGATTATATAATCATTTTAATATACAAATAAAATATAATAATTTTACATCAGTAAATAGTTTTGGACAATGGGTCTTTGTCTGCCCAGTCCTGTGCTAAAGACCCTCTATGTAGGCCTCCCAGTGTGGGTTCCGGGGAACCGTTGTGGAGAAAAGACCCACTGCTTTGCCAACGATCATGTCGCAACAGTCATCTAATTGGGGAATTCCTTCGAAATTGGAGTGCATCTGCCTGAGGGGCAAGGAACCAACAATCTGCATTCAACAGATCTGTTAAACAAATGTGAATGACAGCGCGAGGTGCAGGCAGGCCTTGACTAGTGTCATTCGTGGTCCTAGTGCACCACTAGGTGTGGTTCGGTGCCACTGCTTCTCAAATTTTGAGGTGCAGGCAGGCCTTGACCAGTATCAGCCCTGGTCCTAGTGCACTTCCAGGTGTGGTTCGGTGCCTCTGCATCCCAAATTTTGGGACAAAAAGCTACCTTGATAGCGATTTTTTGAAAATGCAGTAAAAGAAGGATAGATTCTAGATAATTTCTAGAACCTTACTGAGAAACAGTGGGACAGTGTTGAACCTGGAATGCTAAGAAAACAATCAAAAGTGATTAAAAAAGAAAACGCTTAAAACTGCACTCACCAAGGGCCTTTACTTGTACGATTGACTATCTTTGACAGAAGGCTAGGAACACCAGAAAGATTGCGCAGGTTTAATTCAAACGTGTTGGTCACTTCTGCTGGTAGTGACTTGTCTGGCTCTCTGAAATGTTAACATTTAACATTCTGAAAATGTGGATTGGAAAAAAAACAACAATCAACTCTTTCAGTTATCAAACACTTGTTACTTTAGTTCATTCTATTCAAAGAAGTTATTACTTTACATAATCACTGTAGTCATTTGAGGAGTTAAAATAATAATGTGATGGTCAGAATTCATCTGCCAAACATGTTAAATCCAACATGTTAATGACACAATAACAGTAAGATTTTCTAATTATTCATAGTACAGTTTTTATCATCATCAGTTCTCGTTGTGCCTAGTGGCACATGAGGCTTCAGAGAGGACTTTCCATGCTTTCCTGTCCTCTGCAATCTTCAGTGCAGTTTTCCATGTCAAAGATGCCGCACTCAGGTCACTTTCCATCGTTCGTCTCTATGTTGTTTTTGGGCGCCCCTGTTTTCTCTTTCTCTCTGGTGTCCATGTGAGAGCTATTTTGGCAGGTATATCAGGATTCATTCTCATAACGTGGCCAAGCCATTTCCATCTTCTCTTGGTTATCATATTGTCTAAAGTTTCTTGGTTTGTGACTTGAAGTAATTTAGTGTTTGAGATTGTATCTGGCCAGAAAATTTTGATAATTCTACGTAGACATATGTGGTGGAAGGTAGACAGCTTGTGTGCATCCTTTTTTGTCATTCTCCAGCATTCTGCTCCATAAAGAAGAACTGGTTTTTATCATCATTTTTCAAAAATGACCTGGGCTCCCAGCCTTGAGTGGGTACCATGTGCAGTCCTGGGAAGTAAAATTGGCCGGCATGATGCGGACCCATCTTGTGCCATTCGTCTATAAAATTTAGGTCTAGCCCTATATACCCAATACGCCTGAAAGGCCTGGAAAAGGGTCCTTTACTTTACTTTACTTACAGTTTCTATCATAATCAAAGTAATTTGTGAAACAATACCAATTACACATCAATCATTGAAATAATTACTACTTCTTCTTTTTCTTGGGCATTCCGAGCCCTTGAGGTTCATTGCTGCAGATATCACCTGCATCCATTCATCTCTCTGGTTGGCCTTCTCTTTCCAGTTGGTGACACCAAGGGTTTGCAGGTCTGTCTGGACGTTATCACTCCATCGTCTTCTTGATCTGCCTCATGGTCTACGACCATTCATCTCCCTGGTGTATACAGTTTTTACTTCTCTGTCATCTGACATTCTCTCAATATGCCCCAAACATTTCAATCTATTAGCACTCATGATGCCAATGATCAATGTTGATTTAAACAGATGATGAATTTCGTTGTTGCTTCTACTTTCCATTCCCTGCTGTTTGCATCTTTAATGGGTCCAAAGATTCGTCATAAGACTGTTTTCTAAAATTAAAATAATTACGTGATATATAAATATAAAATAACAAATATATACTCTGAGAAATCAATTAACACTGTATATCCTAATTATCTCGTATAACCCAGAGTGTTGAAAAGCATATTGTTGAAAAACTACTGCTACATCTGCCTGAGAGACAAGGAAACAAAGTCTGCATACAAATAAGCCAGATCTGTAAAATGGATGTGCACACAAAACTCAAGTTTTGGAACAAGACTAAAGTCCAGAAGTGGATGAACAACCAGAACTTTGGTCCAGTATTTACAGCTGGTGGATGCTAAGGAGGAGAAGAAGAGCACAAACCTGGTAAATTTCATCTCCACAGTGAGGGCCAGTTTAGAGCTGGAGTTGCTGATCAGATCATCAGCTAAGGCTTTCTGGCTGACCGGACTGATCCCCCAAATGGACAACGACCTTCCATCAAACGCAATCATCGTTACATCTTCCCTGTCATAGCCACTGAGAAAACTGTTGGCATTCTGTAATCAGATTAACAAAACATATTTTAAAATATCAAATAGGGGACTGCGTGGTTTTGAGGCATAGTGTCTGCCTCGAGTGCTAGAGGGTTTTGGGTTCAATCCCCGGTAAGGGCTGGGATTTTTTCACGTGGACTTACACTTCTAAATTACCCCTGGTCTCTGAGTAGTGAGATCGGACACCTATGTGCATTGTTGCGCATATACCGGGTTGGGAAGAAATAAGAATGCATCACTTAACTTCTGCCAAGAGCAGATAACTCAGTATAATTGGAGAAAAAAAAAAGGGGGTGGGTGATGGTTCTTCTTTCTATGCAAAACTGGTTTTCATTTCTCCAATGTTGTTTCCAGATTATGGGAGGATGAATGAATGAATCAAGAACTGCAAATTCCCACAAGAGTATTGTCCCTTTCTTCAGTAACCAACGAAGAGGTGACATGCTAATAGTACCAGTTGCAACCTGATTAAAAGTCCGCCTCTGTTTTCATTCGGTGCTGAATATCTTCCGAAACCTCGACTAACCGTCCCCGCCCACACGCTGTTGAATTAGTCTTTCAGTGTATGTATTCCCTATCAGTTCTTTTGCACTGTCCATTTGATCCCATAGAGCTTTCACCACATCTGCTTTATCATATTGTAGCTCACTGCCCAGAGGAGCGGCAGCAGCAACTCTATCATGGGAGGAAAGAACCTGGAACATATTGTGATTTGCAGAGAGATTGAGGAAGACAGCACAAGAAGATTCTTGAACGTCTTTCATCATGGCATGGAGGGGGAGGCAGCAAATGAACTGATACATGCTGTCAGAGACCACAGTTTGCAGAAAGACATTAACCCATGCCAACCAGCAAGTACTATACAATGATGACGGAAACTGTTGCCTAATCTTTCGATTGGTCTTCATCATGCTCCGTGCTTATTATGTTTCTCAATGAGACTCTCTGGTAGTTGGTACCAGGCTATTTCTTGTCAGGCAGCTAGACCATCTAATCTTTATTCTTTAACTCTTTCAGTAACAAACAGGCGTTACTTCAACAGTTTCTAACTCTGAATTTATACTTTTGGTAACAAACAGGTGTTTCTTCAACAATTTCTAACTCAGAATTTATACTTTTGGTAACAAACAGGTGTTACTTCAACAGTTTCTAACTCTGAATTTATACTTTTGGTAACAAACAGGTGTTACTTCAACAGTTTGTAACTCAGAATTTATACTTTTAGTAACAAACAGGTGTTACTTCAACACTTTCTAACTCAGAATTTATACTTTTAGTAACAAACAGGTGTTAATTCAACACTTTCTAACTCAGAATTTATACTTTTAGTGACAAACAGGTGTTAATTCAACACTTTCTAACTCAGAATTTATACTTTTAGTGACAAACAGGTGTTAATTCAACACTTTCTAACTCAGAATGTATGCACTTTACAGGAATAATCCTTGAGTCCCTGTGAACTAAAACTGTAGTAATATGGAACAGTGTTATGGAGCTGTTTCTATGGATTGGCCATGGCAAGAGTAAGAGAGTTAACAGCACATGGAATCCTGAGGGTGTTGAGCAAACAGGCTTTTCTCAAAGACCTAACAGGCAGCAGCCTAGCTCGTAAATGATAAACAAAGTACCTGATGAATAATCGCACCATGACATGCACAAGGACACAGGCAGAAAAGATGGATTTATTATTGTAATTCAAATAATTCTGGTTTATTACGATTTAACCAGATGATTAACAATATAGAAGACTTACAAATACAACAGCAGCAACAATTATATAGTAACCGGTTAACCGCTATAGCGGCTATAATGTCCTTTAAGAAGTGGTACAGTCCAGGAATGGTCAGTCCATCTTCCAAAGTTCAAAATGGTCTCTAACCTTCTTTCTTCCGTCATATCCTGTCCTAGTATTTTCATACTTGCACTCATGTTGTGCACTCATATACTCATACACATGGACTGTAGGTCCATGACAAACAGGATGAGTTAAAGCAGCCACTATGGTAGAAAGGGTGCAGGTTTCAAAAGAATGGTACAAAAAAAAAAAAAAAAAAAAATTAGCCAGTGTATACCATGTATTAAGTAAACAATGCACGATGAGTTCCCTGAGTTAATTAAGTGTAATATTGATTTCAGCTCTATTTTTCTTCCAACAACGTTTTCTCATTATTTTATTAAAATAATACGAGAAACTTACTCTGTCTTTAGAATAATGTTTCCGCAGCATGCCAAACTCTGCATCAGTCAACGGGACTATGTTACCTCCCTGGGCCATGGTAGTAAACAAAGGCTGGTAACCGGTGATTCCAATAGTAATGGAGGCCTCATACGGAGGGTTGCTAATGAACACTGAGTTGAAGAATGAGAAGAACACTAGTGGGAACCAGATGATGAAAATGACCACAACAAGAAGAATTCCTCCAACAACATACTTGACGATGGCGCCCTTCTTGATACCCCTCTCTTGAGGGTAGGTCTGTGGAAACATAAGAGTATAGGGTTATCAGGATGAACAATACTGAACAATATTAAGAATCAACACGACGGCACTCAAGACATTTCTATAAGCGCTCCATTCCCATCTTCGGCAGTTAGTGCAAAGATCCAATTCTGATGGCACCAGAAAAAGTCTGACTGTATATCTGTCTCGCCTTTGTCTTGAGAATGGCAAACTACTGGACGTAAATTTGCCTAGAAAAACCACACAACAGCCATGGGCTGTTGGGGTTGGTTCTGCAACGTCCTGAAAAGGATAGACATCTAACCTTTGTCTTGAGTGTCAGCCAGATTCCCCTGGTCATTCCACGTTGCACCCTTCTCTTCAGACTGTGATATCTATGTGTGCTTCCACATTGTTCACTCGGTCCCTAAGGATCCTCACAACATCAAGATCTCATCATGCATCAATTCACTACCAAGTAGTGCAGAAGCAGCCAATCTATCTGCCGGTTCATTTCCCTGAGAGAGGAATGGGCGTAGACCACGAGGCAGACAAAAAATAAGTTCAAGAGATAATGTCCAGCCAGACCTGCAAACAACTGGTGTCACAAATTGAGAAGATAAGGCCAGCCAGGGTGATGAATGGAGACGAGTGATATCTGCAGCAGTAAACCTCAAGGGCTCAGAATGCTAAAGAAGAAGATGACTATTCTGTGCTACTTTATGTGAAGTAAAAGTTCAGCGTACATTTGACATTATGAATGTTTTTTTTAATAGATATATTTTATACACTATACAGTGTATAGTATACACTATTCGTATTCGGCCAAATTGTTGGTCCCGTTATTCATATTAGACCGAATAGTGAAAATCACTATTCGGTACAGCCCTAATGTTAACCATATAGTAATCATGGAAATGAGATATCTGAGAAGGGCTGCAGGAGTGACAAGAAGAGATAAAATCAAGAATGAGGTTATAAAAGAACAAGTCGGCACAGAATCAATTCTAAATTACATACAAAGAGATTCAATCAAACCATTTGCCCACTCAGAGAGAATGCCTTGTGATGTCATACAATATAAGCCATACACCAAAAGAGGAGGACATAGTGCATGAGGCAGACTAAGAACAAGATGGAAAGATAACATCAGAGAAACTCGACAACAGTACTATATGTCTGCGATCGAGGCAGCCAGAAAAGCAATAAAGCAGAAACTTATATCTCTCTATACACCCAAAGTGGTAAAAGAGGAAGTAAAGATGAGAAGAAAAGTTAGACATAGTGAATGCTAAGGATAGTTGAAACAACTGTTTGCTGATTTTGAAAAGTGCAAGGCAGTCTAAAAGAATATGTTATTTTAAAATTATTTTTAAAAAGTTAGCTGCATGTCTGTTTTCTGAGACAACCCAAGTGTCATCTAATCATGATAAAAATCCCATTGTTTTCTGAGACAACCAGTGTCATCTAATCATCATAAAAATCCCATTGTTTTCTGAGACAAACAGTGTCATCTAATCATGATAAAAATCCCATTTTTTTCTGAGACAACCAGTGTCATCTAATCAAGATAAAAATCCCATTGTTTTCTGAGACAACCAGTGTCATCTAATCATGATAAAAATCCCATTGTTTTCTGAGACAACCAGTGTCATCTAATCAAGATAAAAATCCCATTGTTTTCTGAGACAACCAGTGTCATCTAATCATGATAAAAATCCCATTGTTTTCTGAGACAACCCATTTGTTATATGATCATGATAAAAATCCCATCTCAAGGTGGACTCAAAACTTCACCTAAAGCTAAGAAAATATATCTCATATTGCAAACCTTCTCAATCTCTCGATAACATTTTAGAACGAAAATGTTGGCATATATATCCTCCATCTGCAGCCAGTTGCCAATTGCAAATGTTGAGTCTGTCCAGATCCAGTCCATAAGGGCTCGTAACTCCAGCAAAAATGGAATGGCCAAGAACCTGGAAATTCATTGTTAAAGGAAAAGAAAGAAATGTTATGAATTAATAAGGGAAGGGACATTTGTTGAAGAGATGGTTAACAGATCTTATATTAGTGATGATTAGCAAGGAAAGTGTTTGTGATTAGGCTTTAGTTATGATGTGTTTACATACAGTGTTGTGATAAGATTATTCATATGTAGTGTTACTTGTGTAGTAGAAACTTTCATGCAGTCTGTTAAGCAGGTAATTAGTGCTGGCACGCACTGTTAGTGGCGTTAACACTGCCCACTCATACTTAGGTCACTCACCCTGCGTGGGCCACTGAAGTTTGCATGGCGAGGATGGCAGCTTAGTTTGTGCTGTACGACAGTGAGGTGGAACTGAGTCCCCGGGTAGATCCATGGGAATGGAACGGTGTGTGTTAGTGAATGTAAAAGCTACCACAGCTGGCATTTTGGATTAGGGACTGTCCATAGCTGTTGAGGCTTGCTTTTGGTCGAATTGCTCTTTGTTCGTTAAAGATTATGTCTGTATTCTGTAGCTGTGTGTCTTAAGTGTGTTTTAGGTTAGTTGAGTTTGTTATTCGGCCTACCAGATGAGCTAGAGTAATAAATACGAAAGTAGGTCGATGACAACAGAGAATAATGGTTAGAAAGCCAGTGTACAGATAATAGATGGATAAGTTAGCAGACATAAATGGCAAATATAACACAGACAATAAAAACAAAAACACAATTGGATGATTAGGAAGAAAAGGATTAGAGAAGAATAAATGAGTAATAAAGGAGGAAAAGTATGGTTTATGAGAAAATAAAGTCAAGAGATTCATTTCTTACCCCTTAAATAAGATCAGATTAGTGTAACCATATTTCTTGGTCAGGAAGTTGCCAAGGATTCGGTTTGGATAGCCACACCTGATCTGGTAGGCAGACAGGCCAAAGTAGACACACTTGATGAGATACCAAATTTGAGCTGCCTTGTTTTGAAAAAAGCTCCTGAAAAAAATATTACATGCTATAACTCTTTCTATCTGAAGCAATTAACTAAAATAAAGCTTACTTCCCACAAAATAAACAGTTTGTCCTAGAAGTTGCTAATTTAAAGTGGTAACATGGTTAAAAAGGGGTTAAAGACATAATTGTCTGAGTGTCAAGGACTGCCATCTCACACAATCACCAGAATCATGGAACAGGTCTGTGTTCTCATGCTGGTCATGTGAAGTTATCAGGCTGTCTGCATGCAGGGTTTTCTCGACTTAACGACGAGTTCTGTACTGACTAATAAATCATAAGTCGAACTGGTCGTAAGTTGGATTTATATTTTTCAACACCATATTCATTCAAAAGGGGTTATAAAAATGTTATACAAAACACAAAAATTAAATCTATTTACGTATAATTATTGTACATAATGTGAAAAATACATAATATGTACCCTACTGTATCAGCTCCAGAAATTTGTTGATCCTACCAATATAAGTATCTTTCTTTATTTACCATTTTTACATATTATTTTTTGAACCTGTAAGCATGGATGGTCATAAGTGGCACAGGTCGTAAGTCAAGGAAAATGTTTATTTAATCTCTTTGCCATCTCTTGGTATTTTATCCCATCAAGTTAGCCAGCTGGTACTAAGTCACATTATCTTCATTGCCAGAAAAAGAAATACAAAATATCCACAGCTTTCTACAATATTTACAAAATATCCCACAATATTGAAACTTTCACTTGTGGCACAGAGTAATAAATTGAAAACTGGCACCATACAAAAGATGCACACCATCATCTTTATCACCCTGTTGAGATCATACAGAAGACACACATTGTCATCTTCGTCACCCTGCTGGCACTTCACAGAAGACATATGTTGTCATCTTCATCAACCTCTTGGCACTATACAGAAGACACACACTGTCATCTTCGTCAACCTGCTGGCAATTTACAGAAGACACATGTTGTCATCTTCGTCAACCTGCTGGCACTTTACAGAAGACACATGTTGTCATCTTCGTCAACCTGCTGGCACTTTACAGAAGACACATGTTATCATCTTCATCAACCTGCTGGCACTATACAGAAGACACATGTTGTCAACTTCATCAACCTGCTGGTACTTTACAGAAGACATATGTTGTCATTTTCACCAATATGTTGGCACTATACACAAGACAAATGTTGTCATCTTCATCAACCTACTGGCACTATACAGAAACATTTTGTTGTCATCTCTGTCAACCTGCTGGCACTATAAGAAGACATTTTGTTGTCATCTTTGTTAACCTGCTGGCACTATACAGAAGACATATTGTCATCTCTGTCAACCTGCTGGCACTATACAGAATACGTTTTGTTGTCATCTTTGTCAACGTGCTGGCACTATACAGAAGACATTTTGTTGTCATCTTTGTCAACGTGCTGGCACTATACAGAAGACACTTTGTTGTCATCTTTGTCAACATGCTGGCATTTTACAAAAGACATATGTTGTCATCTTTGTCAACCTGCTGGCACTTTACAGAAGACATTTTGTTGTCATCTTTGTCAACCTGCTGGCACTTTACAAAAGACATATGTTGTCATCTTTGTCAACCTGCTGGCACTTTACAGAAGACATTTTGTTGTCATCTTTGTCAACCTGCTGGGACTAAACAGAAGACACATGTCCTCGTCTCGATCACCCTGATGTGCTGTTTACAGATCACACAAAAAAGTGTACATCCTCTACTGCATTCCATCTTGTGCAATCATTTCAATGTTATGGATGGAATTCAATTCTCTCTCATAAACATTAATTTTTAGGTTTCTCTTAAATAGGCAACATGATTTAACTCTCCCTTCTCCAAAAAATTTTGACAGCCATTGTATTAACTACAAAGTGTCAACAGCAAAATTATAATCTATAAAGATTATTTTAAAAAAAAACACACACACACAAAACAAACACAAAAGAGTTCACTTTTATTTAGCATTAGACAGAACACAGAAACATACTTCCTAGTGATGGCCGGCAGAACGAAGAACATCCAGATGTGAATGAGAATCACCAGCAGAATCTGAAAGATAAATTTGCCCAGGACAAATTTCCTGAGGAAGATGGCCCTGTCGATGATGATGAAAACAAACTGGGTGATCAGCATGACGAGGAACGGGATAGGAATTTTGTTGTCCTGAAGGTAGCTGGTGACGCTTTCATCTCCTGTAGTGTCCTGAAAAAAAAAAAAGAAGATGCTGATCAAACAAAGAATGAATTAATCAAGAACTGACATCACTGCACTCGGGAGATTCCCACACATGCTCCATCTCCTCCTTCATTAACCAAGGTAGAGCTGACATGCAATCTGATTAAGACCACCTCTGTTTCCCCTTCAATATTGAATATCTTCCAGAACCTCTAAGTCCCCCGACTGAATTAGTCTTTCAGTGTATGGATTACCTATCTATTCTTTTGCAATGTCCATTAGATCCCACAGAGCCTTCACCACATCCGCTTTATCATATAGTAGCTCACTACCCAGAGGGAAGCAGCAGCTAATGTATCAGCATTCTCGTTACCTCGCACACCTGAATGTCCTGGAGAGAAAATCCATGATATGCTCTTGATCTAGGCCTTATCGAGTGATGCAAGCCACTCTGCGCGCAAGGCACCAGTTTCAATTTTCCAAATCATGCTTGTGAGTCTGTTAAAACTAAAACATGTCAGATTGTGCTGATCTCAAGCCATCGGAAAGCTGCCATTACTGCCTTCATCTGCATTCTCATACTGGATGTAGGGACACCGTATGTGAGGCTCTCTCTTTTCAAGCAGTGTTCATTCATCTTTGCAATAAAACCCCACCTGCTCTTCTTATCTTTCACTACAGACTTATCTTTGTATATAGATCAAACAATAACAGTGATCTCCAGATTTTGCAATCTTAGCAGAGATGCAGTAATTTTAGTGTGCATTTGAGAAATTTAGATTTAGTAATTTGAGTGTTCAAACGATGTGTGCATGGACTATCTTGCAATCATGAAGGAAGAAAATTGGGGCTGTTCAGCTGCAGACTGATTTTTAGAATACCACGGACCAAGAAAAAAACAAAGGCTGACATTATAGCAGACCTCAGCATCTTGTCTTGGACACTGAAATACTCTGGCTAGACCAAACGTCACAATGGTCTCGAGAGAATAGTAGCAGAAGCAGGGACCGACAAACATGAAGGCAGTACAATACATGCTAGACACCTTGAGTAGGAAAGTTTATTCACAAACATGAACATGGATTTTTTATTTTTAAGTCTTATCTGTATTTTGTTTACTGTTGAAAAAAAAAAAAAAAAAGCAATTTGTTGGTTATATTTTGAAATTCATCATCAAGAACAGATAAAAATTTCTCAGCATGTTTAACTCTTTAAGTACCAGAGACTGACTGAAGCAATAATGATGACAATAAAAAGTATGGGTATACTGTATCCAAAGGGTCCAAATACACAGCTGACTTCTTATTTGGGGGGGGGGGGGGGGGGGGGGGTTGATTTAGTTTGCCGGACTTAAACTGAGATGTACAAGTACATAAAACATGTTGACTGGTGCACATGAGTAATATTATCCAGTACCCATGGTGTGTTGTTTGGGGACTTAAAGAGTTAATGACAATTGAGTAAGTGACACTGACATAGGAAAAATACAATGTTAAAGTCTTTAAAGCTGTTACTATGGGCTTTTGATATCTGGACAATAAGCAGACAACTTATGAAATATAGATGCAGCAGATGGGTTTTTAAAAAAAGGGAAAATACAAAGGATACAATCAATTTATTGAAAAAATCAATAAGGCAGATCTCTGAGAAGCAGACAAAGCCGCCAACTGATTGAATAATTTAAATGTTCACAGTTAACATTCTGACAACTGTTGTGACAATATACATTTGTTAACATAGTGCTGAAAAATTATAATAAAAGAAAGACTATGATATGAAAATCTTCATATCTTGACCAAGCTGCAAAAAAAAAAGAAAAAAAAAAGGTTCTTTATTAATATTTTACCCCAGATGATGTCACAGGACAGTCCAACATTTTAGAGGGTGGTAAGACTGGGTTTCCCAGCTTTCTGATGCTTTTAGCAACCCCAAAACATCTAGAACTGACCCTAACCCCAACCCACCTAAGTCCCCCGAGAGAGTGCAGCCTAGGTCCCATGACTGCATGCAGCCTATCTACCACCCCTTGAAATATTAGACTGTCCTGGGACCTGTGGATTTCCCCTGCTTGGGGTAGGATATTAACAAAGCACCCAAAAAAAAAAATTTGTAGATTCTAGTTATAAGGTGAAATGTGAAAACAGTGAATACAACTGCTTTCAGACATGAGGCTGATGAGTTGCACAGTGCATTATTATCATTTCAGTGGACAAATCCTGTACTCACAGCAGGGCCAAATGAGCTGAATCCAAAGACGAGAACTAAGAACAAGATGAAGTCACAGAAAAACATTTGAGCATACACATCTGCTGTGGCATTGTAGGATGACTGAGTGACCTGTTTGAAGAACTTGGTAAATGGCCTGACGATGTACGACAATCTGGCAAGAGACAATGTATGGACAGTAACTCACACGGCAAAAATTTTCAAAATGTTACATGTTTATCTTAAAACCAAATGCCGTCTGAACTGTTTATTTTTAAAGACTGTTGTAACTGTTACTCTGTCTATCACAAGTAGTTATAACATAAAAAGGGTTCCCAATTAACTTGACCTGCATACTTTTCTGAGTTTTTAAGATCCTATACTATTTGTTTTAATAGCCATACTGATAAACTTATAATTTTTAAATATCTGAACCAAACCACTTTCTAAAGTTGAGGGCTTTTTTTGTAAATGATATCATAAACCCTTTACATTTGTTTCACCGGGTTCCAAGGACTAGTGAAATGAGAAACAATGACATGAATGAATGAAAGTTTGGTCTGAAGGATTGAAAGTAACAATATTAAGGGACTACAAAATGTCAAGTGATTTAATGGTTAGTAGGCTTGCCTGGCACGACAGCATCTGTTGAAAAAATTTTTTTTTTAGATCCCAGAAAGGCATGATTAGTTTTCTTACCAGTTTGGCTCTGGAGTTGTCCAGTTGCACAAAAATGGGTATGTACAATTTTTCTGGGAAGCAAAGTAGTGATGAGGAAGGGAACTGACCATTTTATCTCATAAGTTAGAGACTACAATATGTGAATGCCTAAGATTCCACCTCATGAGGGTTAGTTTATAAATCTTCTTTTTAACATTCACCTTCTTTAAGCTCTGGTGGACAGTTCTGTGAGAATCGCTTTATTTAAACTCTGGGGACTTTAACACCCTTGTGACTGAATTGCCAACACAGTTTCATTTAAACTCCTAGGGTATTGAACTGCCCTCACAGTTTTATCTCTAACCCACTAGTTATGGCCCCTGGTACTCCAGGTATTCCCCCCAGCCAACATGTGTAGGCATTTTTTTGAGAAACCATCGACCTGGCTGCTTCGAGATACCAGCTAAGTGATTCTATGTATTTGTCTAGTATTGTTTGATTTGTATGTGCCGATGAAGGCTCCATAGCCACAACGTTCACGTTGTTTGTATTTGTTATATTGTGAAGCTTGCTAATATACTTTTCATTTGGTTTTATATCTTTTCTTGATGGTTGTTCTCCCACTTTTGTACTTTGGTCTTTATCCAGAACTACGAGTTTAGTGTGCACAACAGTTTTAGAGATCTGGCTTATCGTTATGCAGAATGTTGGTTCCTCGTCTCTCAGGCACATGCACTCTGACTTGGAAGGAAACACTACTATTAGTCACCTCCTATTACATGCATGTTGGAGGGTTGGGGAAGGGGGTGTGTGGCAGACAGGCTTTGGGTCTCTTCTTCTTTTGCCAATATCTGCTTATGCCGTTAGACGATCGGCAGCTGAGCCAGGGCGCGCTCTGTCGCTTGATATGCTGTGATGTTATATGTCTATTCTGTGTACTACAAAATGCTGTCCTGACACCCACATGCAGATTATTTATAAATATCTGTAATAATAAACTGAGGGCTTAGTTTTCTAAAAGGAAAAGTCCCAATTGTGTTCTCTGTATATATCTGTAACGATAAATTAATTGTTATCCAATGGATTCCTTAACACACATTTACCTCATTTTAGCATTTATTGTGTCTCCGTATTACAACTCAATAGTCATAAAAAAATTTTTTAATTAAAAAAACAAAAAAAAAATTATTTCATTTCATAAGCAAAATTAAACCAAAAAATATAACAATACTCTTCCCCAAGAAGAAGATGGAAAATCATCAATCAGCCCCACCCAATAACTTGTTAGTTACAGAAGTTTACCCCTATATAAGTCTTGAAATGTCAGGCTAACATAAGCCAAATACCCTTCCTGCAGACAGCATTCTAATTCTGTAAAACAGATGTAAATGCAAAACTCAAGTTCTAGAACAAAATCAAAGACCAGAAGTGGACACACACAAGATTAAAAAAGAAGAAGTAGAATCCATGTACATGTGATCTTTCTTTTCTCCACTTTCACGGAAAGCATCTCTCTATGATGAAATTTTCCAGATTGTTTAAATATATAATTTTTGTGTGGGTAACCTTCCCACAATATTTTATTTCCCTCAGTTATTTTAACTGTCTTAAACTCAGTCAATCAACCAGCACCTCCTTTACAGAACATTGCTCTCTTCACGGCACACCTTTCAGCCAATTCTCTAGCCCTGTGTGCTTTCATAGCCAATGCATCTTCAATGATCTGTATACAACATCACAGTAGTCGGCCTCTGCTTCATTTTCCACAAACTGCACCCTGCACCACCGTTCTCTCCAGACGACCGTGACACTTGACATGTCCAAAATACCCCAGCTTTATTTAGGGAGAGGATGCTGTTTACGAGCCAGTTTCCCTTGATGCTCAGATCATGCCGGGTGACAATGTTTTTCTTCTTCTTGGTCCACGGGATTCTAAGAATTTTTCTGTAGCATTTCAGTTCAAAAGCTCTGATTTTCATCTTCAAAGCCTGAGTGAGAGTCCATGACTCACATCCATAGGTTGCCATTGGAGCTGAGTCGAGAAATGACATCACAGCACTCGAGCATTCCCATGCTTGCTCCGTCCTCATCTTCAGCAGTCAGCGCAGAGTTCCAGTACTGATGGTACCAGATTGTATGTCCGTCTTGCCTTTCCTCTAAGTGTAGTGAGCCGGCCAGACCCTCTGGTTACACCCAGGTACCTTATTCTCTCCAGGCCATAATAATCTTGTTTCTCTACTGATTCTGTTGCTTGTTCCCAAAGGGCAGGTTGCCATGGGAAAGATGCATGATCTCCATATTGTTAGTTCACTCGCTGTCAGATACAATGTCTTTACAAAAAATATTTAAATCTTAACAACTAATCTCCATCAATACTGATTTTTTGGGGTTAGATTTACTTGTTCTCTTTCTCAAGCAATTAATTTTAAGGACTTTTGTAAAATAATAAAAGAAAGTGGCTAATTGCTTGCCTGCTGGCCCAAATATCTTTGGTTTGAATCCACACTGTGGTGGATATTTTGAAAAGTGACCTGGGCTCCTGGTAGAACCAAACTAATAAATAGGAATCTTTGAGTAAAATATTCCCAGAGGGGGTTACGGAGACCATTGGAGGGAAACAAGAGTAGACCCATTGCCCTTAACAAGCATTTCAAAATAAGTGACTAATTAGAGGTGTTTCCACTGAAGTGGGTGTGCACCCACCTGAGAGGTGAGGAACCAACAGTCTGCACAAACACATACAACCCTCTTAACTGAGGATTTGAACCAGTCTCTGGGTGTTGAAAGCTAGCAACTACCAACTTTTATTTCAGATTAACTCTTTGAGTCCCAAGAAACACAGCATACGTTCATAGGTTCCTAACTAGAAGCCCAATGAACACAAGATGCACCAATTTTACATCTCTCTTGACTATCCCTTGGGCCTCTGATGCTAAACCCCCTGGGACTCAAAGAGTTAAACAATGCAGACAAAAACTACAATGGACATCTTGGTAATGCTCATACCCCTGGCTCAACTTTGAGCGTGGTACTGCAGGATCCGTGCTTGGAGTAGGCTCACTATCGGATTCTTTGAAATAAGAGTCCTCATCTGCTGGTATCTGTATTTTTGGAGGCAACATTTGGCAAAATTAATATTTATGCAAAATTGCGCATATGTTTATTACGGTTCTAATGAACTGTCTAGTAGATAGGTATGCATAAAACTGAAGTACACATGCAGCAATAACAGATGAATAATTTTTTCTTGTCCCCCAGAAAATTATATGTATATATATTTAAAATATTTCTCCAGACAGAAAATGGTATGCCAAATCACATTAAATATCCACAAAGAGAGATTACAAAACATTATTATTATAATCATTTGAAAAGTGAACTTGAAATATGTTAAACATAACAATCTATACTTCTACAATATGTTACAATTAATATATACAAGAACAAGGCATATGAGATGTTAATATATTGTAAGACAGAATAACAGTTTCCTAGATCACTTTAAATATCTGCAAATACAGACTATACAATATAATTTCTATAACTGTTTAAAAGTACACTTAAAATATATTAACGTTAGCAATCTAAACTCCTAATCTAGGAGGAGGAGGAGGAGGAGAAGAAGAAGAAAAAGAAGAAGAAGAAGAAGAAGAAGAAGAAGAAAAATCTATACTCCTACAATTGTATAGCATTTAATATATAAACTATGCAATATTGAATAACCAAACATAACTGAAGAAGAAAAAATATCTATACATCCCAAGTACAACTTGGATTAGTTGAACAGGATATTGTTGTTTTAATTACTATTAATAACTAATACATAAGCTATGCAACATTAAACAACCAACAATAACAGAATTAGCATAAATATCCATTGCAGAAAAAAACCCAACTATATACCCCAAATAAAACCCAGAGGAGTTGAATAGGATATTGTTGTTTAAAACTACTACATACTGAAGGCATTATTCATACCACATGCACATCATTTGTCATCCCCTTGTGGGATGCATTTTTTTGTTATTTTGAAGCGCCACCCTGGCTCTTGCCAGGAGCCGCAATATAGCCTGGCCATAAATATGACCTAATGGCTGAACGCGGTTTCTGCGACCTCGCCACGGATGATCCTCACTTGCATGGTAGCACTTTGTGTCATCGGGTGTTTAATGCTTCTGTGATGTCCTAGTGGTGTAAAATGTACTACTAATTAGGCATTATAGCCTTTTGTGCCATATTTATCTTACCACTTCAGGGGAGTTTGGACATGACTGCTCCTTACTCTCTGCAGCTTCCATATCTGCCGTTATGTCAGCGGCATCTCTCCACAGTCCATATCTCTGAAATTTACAAGATATACACATGACAACAGAGTCAAATATATATTAATAACACAAAACAGAAGCCACTTTCAAGCCTTACTACCAACGGGCATATGATGACTGACTGACTGACTTTTTACCCCACCAGGACATCACACAAGCGATAAACACCCGATGACACAAAGTGTTACCATGTGGGTGAGGATAACCGTGGAGAGGTCCCAGAAACCGCGTTCAGCCTTTAGGCCATATTAATGGCCAGGCTATATTGAGGCCTCTGGCAAGAGCCAGAGTAGGGCTTCAAATATCGAAAAATTTCGTTCTTAAAGGACGGGAGATAATATTCACGGGCAAATGATGCTATTGCCATAATTTTATAGAACAACCAGAATGAGTGCTGAGGTCAATATTAAGCCAGCTGTCTTTACTTACAAGCTGGCAACCCCGGACAAAATGAACTCTTTTGGTACCAAGAAGGTGTGACTTTAAATTGTTTATTCTAAAAATTAATAACTTTTTACTCTTTCAGTATCATAAAGTTTATCAGGAAATCCTAAGGGAAGCAAAGGAGGGCGATTACAATGAAAAATCAGATGTGATTTGCTTTTGAAGAGGCCCAATAAACAATGAAACCTTCCTCTTTGGTTCAGTGGCCATAAACTCCAGTGGAAGGTTTAGGTTGTTCGTCTACTTCTGGACTCTAGTTCTGTTCCAGAACTGAGTGTCATGTGCACGTCCATTTCCGAAATATGACTCGTCTGCATGCAGACTTTTGGTTCCTTGCCTCTCAGGCAGATGTACTCTGACCTTAAAAGAAGCTCCCAACTAGTCGACTCTTACACATGCTTTTGGGTAAGCAACAAGTCTAGTCTTGTTGTCCCCATAATGGTGCCTCAGAACCCATATAGGGAAAACAACAATGAACTGATCAGAGGTGAAGCCAGATTTTCTTAATATGTTGTGACCAAATAGAAGAAGTAAAAGAACAATGCAATGGTTGGAATTTTGGGGAAATAGCGAATGACCCTAAAGCATTTCTTGGAACTGAGAAAGTTAAATTAACTAAGTTAAGTAATTAACTTTTGGATACGATGAGTGGAGAAAAACAAGAACAGATCAACTGCCTCCCCAACAAGCATGTCATAAAAGTCAATTAACTTGGGGGTTTCCTTTGCAGTTGGAGTCCATCTGCCTGAGAGGCAAGGAACCAGTGATCTACATACAAATAAGTCAGATCTATAAAACAGATGTGCACAAGACACTCAGATTCTGGAACAAGACTAAAGTCCAGTGGTGGACGAACAATCAGAACTTTCCCCAAGAGTTTACAGCCAGTGAATGCAAAGAAGAAGAAGAAGGATATGATGAGTGATAATAGCACTATGGAACAGGAGGGGAAAAATTATTTTCAGACAGTGTGACAGTATAACAGCTGGAATAATGACAAGAAGTTCCAAGAAGTAGATCATGTTGGCTGAAACTAGCAAACATGTGATGAGCTGCTTGGTACTGAATGAGTTACAAACAAATCTGCTCTGATGAGATTTTCAATCTTTGACCACTTGTGAGGGCAGGCAAATGTGCTTGCCACTACACTATTATCATCATCAGGTGCCTTGCCGACTGGCGTGGGCGATCATGCCTCTCCATAATCCGCGATCTCCTGCAGCATGTATCAGTTCGTGTGCCGACACACCTCCATGCCATGCAACAAGACTGTCAAGCATCTTCTCTCGTTGTCTTCCTCTATCCCTCCTTCCACAGATCTTTCCAGTGGTCACAACATGTTCTATTTTCCCTCTTCTCATAACATAGCTGCTTTAAATTATATAATTAGTATAAATATAACAATTTGTATCTACTATTTTTTTATGTCACTTTTGTACATCAGTTAAATTTATTTACAGAAAGATGTCTAAAAGCTGCCGTAAAAGACATCACTAAAGAGTCTATCCTCTTTTTCTTTCTTTCCATGATTGCTCCCTTTGAGTATTGTACCATCTGATAAGTTCTTGTGATAAACCTATTTGTGTAGGAGTTGGTTTTTAGTTCTACACAGATTGGAATTAATTCAGTGAGACAGCGTACGTTACTTAGCTCACTATACAGATAACAGAACACTGAGCTTACTGTACAGATAACAGTACACTCAGCTCCTAGAAATAGGCCTGACGTTTTCCCTCGAAGTGGGAGTACATCTGCCCGCGAGGCAGGGAACAGCAAAATGGTTGTACACGCAAAACTCAGGTCCAGGTAAAAGCCAAAAGTCCAAGCGGACGATTAACCGGGACCTTCCGCCGGAATTCACAGCCGGTGAATGAAGAAGAAGAAGAACACTCAGCTCACTATACAGATAACAGAACACTCAGCTCACTGTACAGATAACAGAACACTCAGCTGACTATACAGATAACAGAACACTCAGCTCACTATACAGATAACAGAACACTCAGCTCACTGTACAGATAACAGAACACTCAGCTCACTATACAGATAACAGAACACTCAGCTCACTATACAGATAACAGAACACTCAGCTCACTGTACAGATAACAGAACACTCAGCTCACTATACAGATAACAGAACACTCAGCTCACTATACAGATAACAGAACACTTAGCAACAGAACACTCAGCTCACTATAAAGAGAACAGAACACTCAGCTCACTGTACAGATAACAGAACACTCAGCTCACTATACAGATAACAGAACACTCAGCTCACTATACAGATAACAGAACACTCAGCTCACTATACAGATAACAGAACACTCAGCTCACTATACAAATAACAGAACACTCAGCTCACTATACAGATAACATAACACTCAGCTCACTATACTGATAACATAACACTCAGCTCACTGTACAGATAACAGAAAACTCAGCTCACTATACAGATAACAGAACACTCAGCTCACTATACAGATAACATAACACTCAGCTCACTATACAGATAACATAACACTCAGCTCACTATACTGATAACATAACACTCAGCTCACTATACTGATAACATAACACTCAGCTCACTGTACAGATAACAGAACACTCAGCTCACTATACAGATAACAGAACACTCAGCTTACTATACTGATAACATAACACTCAGCTCACTATACAGATAACAGAACACTCAGCTCACTATACAGATAACAGAACACTCAGCTCATTATACAGATAACAGAACACTCAGCTCACTATACAGATAACAGAACACTCAGCTCACTATACAGATAACAGAACACTCAGCTCACTATACTGATAACATAACACTCAGCTCACTATACAGATAACAGAACACTCAGCTCACTATACAGATAACAGAACACTTAGTTCACTATACTGATAACATAACACTCAGCTCACTATATAGATAACAGAACACTCAGCTCACTATACAGATAACAGAACACTTAGTTCACTATACTGATAACAGAACACTCAGCTCACTGTACAGATAACAGAACACTCAGCTCACTATACAGATAACAGAACACTCAGCTCACTATACAGATAACAGAACACTCAGCTCACTATACAGATAACAGAACACTCAGCTCACTATACAGATAACAGAACACTCAGCTCACTATATAACAGAACACTCAGCTCACTATACAGATAACAGAACACTCAGCTCACTATACTGATAACATAACACTCAGCTCACTATACAGATAACAGAACACTCAGCTCACTATACAGATAACAGAACACTTAGTTCACTATACTGATAACATAACACTCAGCTCACTATATAGATAACAGAACACTCAGCTCACTATACAGATAACAGAACACTTAGTTCACTATACTGATAACATAACACTCAGCTCACTATATAGATAACAGAACACTCAGCTCACTATACAGATAACAGAACACTTAGTTCACTATACTGATAACATAACACTCAGCTCACTATACAGATAACAGAACACTCAGCTCACTATACAGATAACAGAACACTTAGCTCACTATACAGATAACAGAACACTTAGTTCACTATACAGATAACAGAACAATCAGCTCACTATACAGATAACAGAACACTCAGCTCATTATACAGATAACAGAACACTCAGCTCACTGTACAGATAACAGAACACTTAGTTCACTATAAAGATAACAGAACATCTTTGCAGTACACAATTTCTCAATTTGTATCCTATCCAACACTAGCCTTTAAATTTTTTTTTAAAGCTCTATATTCTTTGGAAGTGTTTAGTTCTCACTTTGAGTTCTGCAATAATGATTCCCATTTATATCACTTTGGTTCTTTCATTCTGTACAGGTACCAGTTAAATGTTTATTTTTATTAATAATTTTTAGTTAACTTTTTGTTTTGTTTTAGATCCATACAACAGTGCTGATCTGACATTGCCAATCACACCAACATAATTTAAAAAAGAAAAAAAAAAAACATACAGAAAAATACAGGACAAAACAACTCACCATTAAGATGGAACGGTGAAGGAAAAGTGCAAGGAGCAGAGCAATATCCACATTAGCATAGTCATCCTTTTTCTCAATTCCAATGATGCGTGGTGGGAAGAAAGGACCTTCATAGATTGTGCCATCATTCCAAGGAAAAAATCCAAATTGAAACAGATACTTGCAAACAACCACCGCCTGTGTGAGACAAATCATAGCTCAAATTATAGAGCTGGTATTAATTATATCATAGGTCATAGTAACAGAAAGATATAAACTTTGCAAATAAGGTTTGTAAAAACAATAAAATATGAGCCACCATTATCTCCTCTAGGCACTGACTTGTGAAGAAAACACAGTCAAATGCAAGTGTCTAACATCAAGTGTCTAGCAGACGGGTGTAGATGATCATGTCTTTCCACAACTTGTGATCTCCAACAGTATGTATCAGTTCATGTACTTCTTCTTCTTCTTCGCGTTCACCAGCTGTACACTCTGGCGGAAAGTTCTGGTTGCTCGTCCACTACTAAACTGCAGTCCTGCTCCAGAACCTGAGTGTTGCGTGTGCATTAGTTTTACAGATCTCATTCTCTTGAATACAGACTGTTGGTTCCTTGCCTCTCCGGCAGATGCACTCCGACTTCAAAGGAAGCTCCCCAATTAGTCGACTTTTACGACGTGCTTTTGGGGAGGCAGTGGGTTTATTCTTGTTTTCCCCACAATGGGGTCCCGGAACCCACACGGGGGAGTTCATGTACTGACATCCCTCCTTGCTATGATAAAAGGCTCTCATGAATCTTCTAATGATGCCTTCCTCTATCTCTTTCCAGTCATCACATAAGTTGAAAACAAAAATGAAAAGGACCCTTTTCCATGCCTTCAGGCATAAAGGGCAAGACCTATATTTAATAGACCAGTGGACACTTGGTGGGTGATGTGGTCAGCATTACGCCGACCACCTTTACTTCCCAGGACTACCTCTGGTACCCACTCAAGGTTGGGCCAACCTGGAAGCCAAGGTCATTTTTTAAAAAAGTCCGACTCTGCCAGGACCCAAAACCATGACCTTCCGATAAATAAGCAAGTGTCTAGCCACTACACCATGGTGACTCCCTTAGGCATCACATGTTTATATCTTCTCATGACATGTCTAAAAATGATGACTGTCTGTCTCTGATGTTTGGAATAAGTTGTCTTGGGGCCTTTACCTCTTTCAAACATGTGAATTACTCCCTGTGGTTGTCCAAGGAGTTTTAAGCTACATTATACAACATTACAAATACATTACAATATTAGGGGCTTTTGAGTTGAAATGCTATAGAAAGATTCTCAGAATATCTTGGACACAGAAGAGGAGAAATATTGACATCTTGAAAGATTTGAACATCAAGGAAGATTGGCTAATAAACAGCATCCTGTCTCGGAAGCTGAAATATTTTGGTCATATCAAGCGCCATTCAAGCGGATTGGAAAAAAATTATAGCAGAAGGCATGGTACCAGGAAGGAGGGGCAGGGGCTGGCCAACATGAAGATGGGCACAGGATATAAGGGACTCCTTGAGTGCGAAAGTTCATGAGGCAGGAGAGCTGGCGACAGACTGAGTTTCTTTCAGGCAGACTGTGATGAGAGCGATGTTCTGCAAAACACCTGCTACATGATGATATACAAATATAAGCAAAGCAGCCTTCCAAATTACTTAATCAATTAAATATTTATCCTTTTCTTTTTCACAAGGAAGGATTAAACAGTACATCATAAGATTGACTGATTGACTGGCATCTTTCCAGACGATAGTGTTATATTGCGCTATTAGGAGGCAGGGGACACAGCCCATGGCAATGGCGAGTGTGACAAGCAAGACCCGCCTGCATTAAGAAAAAGTCTTCCACAGTTATAGCATAGTATTTCAGGACCGTTGTTGTCAACATTTGTGTTCAGTCTGTTTATTCTCAGACGCCCATCTTTCTTATATCACAAGAACAAAGGTGTTAATATATCATAGGGCAGAAACAAATGGTATCCCAGATCTCCCTGTAGGGGTTACTGGGCCCTATTTTAGGGGAAAAAGAATAGACCTACTAGGGATGTGTCCTATGAAGTCAGACTGCACCTGCCTGAGAAGCTAGGGCCAAAAGTCTGCACAGAAATAAGCCAGATCTATAAAATGGATGTGCACACAAAACTCAAGTTATGGAACAACACTAAAGTCCAGAAGTGGATGAACAACCAGAAACTTTCTGCCGGTTTACAATCGGTGAACGCTAAGAAGAAGAAGAGGCATTTCAGATCATTACAATACTCCTAAAGATAGATTACACAAAATTATAATTATCAAAATCATTTAAAAAAAAAATACACTTCAAATACACTACACTTAACAATCTATACTCCTGCAATTATTATAATTAATGCATCATTAAATAACTCATGGTAATTAGCAAACATAAATAACCAATAACAAATTAGAAAAAAAAAAAAACTATACATCCCAATTATAACCCAGATGAGATGACAGGTTATCATTATTTGAATTACTACTATTACATACTTTTCTCACCTCAGTATATGTGATTATGCTGACCCAGAAAACTCTGGGATAGTGAGGCACAATATGCAATATTAAAATAGAAAAGAAAAACTATATGTCACAATTATAACCTAGATGAGTTAAACAGGATATCACTGTTTAAACTACTTTTACTACTACTAATTACTACTACACGTTTTTCTTACCTCAGTATATGTGATTATGGTGACCCAGAAAGTCTTGGACGGGCGAGGCACTGATAACATACCCCACAAGAACACCATAAGAGGCAGTGGGAGGGAGAGCAGACTACCGTACACCATCTGGTCCAGAATCATCAGGAAGTAGCACAGCAACTCCGAGCGAGACACCAGCAGCAGAATAACTGCCGTAAACAGTCGTTTGGTGCGCTGGTTGCTGTCCTTGAACTGCTGGTTGAGTTCTTCTTCATCTTGCTTCTCTAGTTCATTCAAGCTGGAAAACACAATAGATACTAGTCAGTCAGAATGGGAAACACAATAGATATGTCATACAGACTTGAAACACAATAGATACTAGTCAGTCAGAATGGGAAACATAATACACGCAAGTCATTCAGACTAGGGAGGAAACATGATAGATGTAAGTCATTCAGACTAGGAAACAATAGCTGTTAAGTCATTCTGACTAGGAAAAATAAAAGCTATAAGTCATTCAGACTAGGAAACATAAAAGGAAGTAGTCAGCCAGAATAGGAAACACAAAAGATATAAATCACAACAGATATAAGTCATTTGACTGAGAGACACAACAGACATAAATCATACAGATTGGGAAACACAAGAAATATAAGTCTTTCCAACACGCAACACAACAAATTGAAGTGAACTACAGTTTCATCACATAAATGGGGCAGTGAGTGACCAGGGGATCCAGCCGACACTCAACACTCAGGGGAGGGGCAAGATAGACATACACTCAGACTGTTACTGATACCATTGGAAATGGAACTCTGCATGTGCTGCTGAAGACGGGTATGGGGCACTGATGGGAATGTCCTGACTGCTATAATGACAGTTCTTAACTCATACTCGACATAAGCAAAATCTATTCTTATACATGCAAAAGGGTTTTTAAAAAAAACACTAAAAAGACAATGTGAAGTACAAGAATGCATGGAAAAAAAAAAAAAAAAAGAATTCCTTCTATGTGGGCACTGATGGGAATGTCCTGACTGGTATAATGACAGTTCTTAACTCATACTCGACATAAGCAAAATCTATTCTTATATATGCAAAAGGGTTTTTAAAAAAAACACTAAAAAGACAATGGGAAGTACAAGAATGCATGGGAAAAAAAAAAAAAGAATTCCTTCTATGTGTGTTCCAAGGTCCCATGGGAGGGGGTGAGGAGTGGGAAATGGAACTCTGCGTGTGCTGCTGAAGACAGGTATGGGGCACTGATGGGAATGTCCTGACTGGTATAATGACAGTTCTTAACTCATACTCGACATAAGCAAAATCTATTCTTATATATGCAAAAGGGTTTTTAAAAAAAAACACTAAAAAGACAATGGGAAGTACAAGAATGCATGGAAAAAAAAAAGAGAATTCCTTCTATGTGTGTTCCGAGGTCCCATGGGAACGGATGAGGAGTGGGAGAGATAGACTGACCACCACCCAACTAGCATGCTGTAAAGGTGACAAATTAGGGTGTTTCCTTTGAAGTCGAAGTGCATCTGCCTGAGAGGGGAAAAGCCAACGGTCTGTATAAGCTATATCTGTTTCAAGCCACAAAGTTCTGGAATATGTCTAAAGTCCAGAAGTGGACAAACAACTAGAACCATTAGAGAGTTCTTCTTCTTCTTCTGCCATGACATCAGTCATGCTACACATTGAGTCCCGTCTGGGTCAAAAATAGGATTGTGCGTTTAAGGTCGTCACCGGTGCCCCATAGCTTCTCTCGCAATGTGGATCCCCTGGGCCATATCCACAGTCTTTGCTGGGAGAGGTAAGGGCAGTACTGCAGTCTGTGCTCAGGGGTCTGTCTTTCTGCTCCACAATCACAGGCAGCAGATTCTTTTATGCCTATCCTGTACAGGTGTGCTCGAAGACCACAGTGTCCAGTCCGAAGTCTAAAAATTTATGTTTGTTCTTTTCTGTTGAGTTTGTTTATGCTGTCACTCTCTGGTCTGTAATCTCTATTCTGCTTTCTCCACTCCTGCTTGAAAGACTACTTTAGTGATGTTTTGGTTTCCTTGTAGCTGTGTGGTGGATGAGGTTGTGGAAGATTACTTCCAGCTTTTGCCAACTCATCTGCTCTCTAATTTCCTTGAATACCACAGTGGGCTGGAATCCACTGCAAGACCAGTTCTGCTTCCTTGGAGAGTAAGCCAATGTTGGTCCTTAGATCGGCAATTTGTCTTGTTTTTTGCTTGATAGTGCTTGGAGAACAGACAATGAGTCACTAAGTATAACAATTTTGTAAATTTTTTGCAAATTCATTCACACATTGAGTATATGTAAGTAGACAATAGCAGAAACATACTAACAATGAAAAGCAAAGCACTAAACAGATCAAGGGTTAACAAACAGAACCCAGTATTTTGTTCTTAACTCTGACACTAACAAAGATATGGCAACAAAATTTGGAGTGGACTTACCTCCACTCATGCAAATTCAGGTGACATCATAATAAGTGCTGGAAATGGCCAACACTGGCGACAGCCAGCAAAACATCAGTGCAGCCATCGAAGCAGTGACACCTGGCGTTTTGAGATGGACTTTCCACAACATGGAATGCCGGGTCCAATGCTGCCTGGATGCCAGTGTTGGTCATTTCCAGCACCTGTTATGATGTCACTCGACTTTGCAGGAACGGAGGTAAGTCCACTCTAAATTTCATTGCCATGTCTTTATTAGTTCTGAGTTATGAACAAAATACTGGGTTACGCCCTGAGTGAAACACCCAATATATTATTACTGTAACCTACCATACATGTCAAAAGAGAAGAATAAGGAGGGTTGGTCTGAAACTGACTACCTCATCATATAGAGACTTTTAACAGCACAATGACAGCATATGTCCTAGTTTTTCACTCACATTCAAGAAGGCTAGAAATCAAGCTCACTACACAAGGGTCATGGGGAAACGTGTTTTCAGTAAGGGGTCTTTTTACACCTCTGGTGCATAAGGAATATAGTGATAGACCTATCTTTGTTTATAGACTATTCAGCACTAAATGGCTGATGTGATCAACATTACGCCTGTCCTGGTATTCCTTTAGGCTGGGTCAATCTGGAAGCTACAGCAGTTAAAAAAAATTCCATTTTGATGCAGATTTGAACCTTAGAACTTGGAGTCAGCAACCGAGCATCTGGCCACAATGCTTCTGTGGCTCTCTTGGAGGAAGTGTAATATCCTCAAATATCTGATTCTGTAAAATCCTTACTGTCCAGAGCATGAAATCTTCTTCTTCTTCCTTCGTTCGCTTGAAATAGATTATCTATATCTGCGATGTTGTCTCTAGTTTGAACTTCACTGTCTTTTGTAATTCACTCAGCGAGCCGTAAAGTTTGACTTGCACCGATGTTTCTCTTGGCCAAAAGTTTTGCCTTGATATGTTGTATTTGAGACAGTCTTGGAGGACATGATCTTTTGTCTCAGGTGCCAATCCACATGTGCATATGGCTGATTCACCAATTTTAAATTTTGCGTACATGTGGCTGTAAAATTGACTGTGTCCTGTTCTAATAATAACTTGCTCTGGTCTGTCCATAAAACGGTAATCGTCTTGTGTCGGTTTTGGTGGCTTTCTGATTGATTTGATTATTCTCTTCTTTTGTTGATAAGCGACTGGTATGTCATGAAAATGTATCTGAGGTAAATTCCTTTTACCTCTAAGCCAATTTGTCACCTACAGAAATTCTATTTATTACCACTGGCAGCAGACTGCAAAAGCAGATAACAATGAAGAGACAGAATTAACAAAAAATTAATTTGAAAAACCCACACAATTGTACATCACATGAAACAGTTAAAATCTGTGGAGGAAAAAATAAAATAAGGAACACAAATAAAGAAACAGGCACCCTGAAACACCATACAACTTCACTGGGAAAAAAACCCAGCAAAGAAAGCAACACAGGTAAAAAAAAAAAAACCAGTACCCCAGAAACCATATATCAATTACAACACAGAAACCTTATCATACCTCAGCTGGGTCCATGACGTTCTTGAAGGCAAAAAAAGAATTGTAGACATAAGGTAGGTCACTAAGGTAGTACCTTAAGGTTAGCATTATACAGTATAAGTATGTCAAGTCTGTAGCAATCAATGTACAAGGCTGCAGGCATTCAGTGTAATCAATAACAGATAATATATGGATGACATAAAATATGACTGGGTAACTGTACAGAAAAAGAACTTAAACAATAATAATTATGACCAGTCTTTAACAGTGGAACCCCTCCCTTCACATCCACCCTTTCCCAAAATAATATGTACATGTTCGGGTGTGTGATAGATAAGAACATAGGGTATATGTATATATACATACACACACACATATATATATAAATTCAGGAGAAACATAACAACAACTAAAATGCGGGAAAACACTGATCAACATTAACAAATAAAAGAAAAACCTATTTAGTTTTATTAAATAACATAGAATTGCCCACTCTTATTCTGTTTCAGCATACCTCGAAAAACCCCTTGTTGGTGTGTGGTAAATAAATTAGTAGGTACAATCCCTGCGATTTTGAGATCACAATAATGAAACAAGTAACTACAACAATTTGAACAAAGAAGATGCAAACACCAGATTGTACAATTTACTGCTTGGCACATTTACTATATCATATCAAGATGAATACTACAGTACCAACTGAATGCAAAGAAGAAAATAAATGACGGAAACATTTTAACAAGGCTAAACATCCCTTACTTTAACAAGGATTAAAATGTGGGCCTGTATTAAAAACCATAATGGAGGGGCAAGTCAAAGACAAGCTTGCAAAAGGTAAACAGCAGTACAAGTGGAAGAATAACATTCAGAGATGGGTGAACAACAGACCCGAGAGAGTGTCTAACCAGAAAGAGACAGAGCTTCATGGAGACCACTGCAGCCAGCCTTTGCTGTGGAGAAGGCACCTCCTGAGATTGACCAGGGATTATAATCTGGGTCTGCATCAATCTAGAACTACCATGTTTTTAAATGAATCTTTAGATACCTGATGATACTCTGTGACAGAGTTGGGTCTTGTGTCAATGCTTCACTGGGTCCTGCAGTATCTTCAATGTCCACTCTTATGTCCAGTTCGCTGTTTAGAAGATAATAAATAAAACCAATGCGACATACAACATGGAAAATACTAGTTCTCATCCTTCCAGACTAAAGATCTAGGTTTCAAATCTGCAATGAGGTCAATTATTAGCTATGTCTTCCATCTCAACAGCCAGCGAAGAGTCTCCATACTGGTGATACCTGTTGTCATCTGGTTAATTACTCATTTAACCTTTCCCTTGAGTCTCTTCTTCTGCTTCTTCTTGCTTCTTTTTCTTCTTCTTCCTCTTCTTCTTCTTCTTGCTTCTTTTTCTTCTTCTTCTTTCTCTTCTTGCTTCTTTTTCTTCTTCTTCTTGCTTCTTTTTCTTCTTCTTCTTCCCGCTTCTTCTTCTTCTTCCTGCTTCTTCTTCTTCACTGGCTGCATCATTGTCATTAAACATCAGTTTTCAATATCTTCTGTTTGAGTTGTGATGGAAATATTAAAGGTGATTAAAGGAAATAAATATGACTTGATTGTGCCAGGTTTTATCCCATCCGGCCAGTTCTCTCTCATCAGCTTAGGTGGTGGCCTTCTGAGATGATCGCACACAGCAAGAACTTTATAGCTCCAGCTTCTGACCCTCATGGATCTCTGGAAAAACTGCCATCATGAACTGAAAGACACCATCTGAAAATGAACCCCTGACCTTTGGAGTGCTAGGTAAACAGTTTCACCATTTTGTCCGAGACAGGAAGACAAACAAAAAAATTTACACTTTTAGTTATGATTTTGTACAGATAGGTTTCAATTCTGCACTTTTTTTGACACAATGCATTTGATTTCTATGACATGCTTGGTAAAGAACAGTGCCTCCTCCCCCTCATGTGGCCCTGGAAGCAAATGGAGGAATGAACAGGCTAGAAGATGAGTTCATAAGGCTCCCAAACAAGGCTGCAGCACAGCAAACGACAATGAGGAAAGTAATTAAGTGATCCTGTCTGATGTAACAGTGGAGACACAGGCCAATACTTAAAATGTCTCCTGAACAGAATAAAACATGCGAAATCAACATCTAACTTACGATGCTCTTTCCCCATTACGCTTGGCTTCCTTTGTTCTCTGAAAATGAAAAATTAAAAAAGTGCAATATGACAAAATCTGCACAAGTTTATTATATGAGTAAACTCAATGATGAGAATAAAAATGTTCTGTTGTTATTAATATTTGATCTAGTTAGTTGTTAGCTGTATCGACATCCTAGCTCTCAGACAAACCCATTCACGTTCCATCCTCCAATGTAGCAGCCATTTTAGTGTCTCCATGCTCACCGCATCCAGTAGGAGTTGATTGGGATCTCTTGGACATAGAAACCAGATTGTGACAGGGAACCATCAGTATTGAACTCTGCACTGGCTGCTGAAGATAAGGACGGAGCATGCATGGGAATGTCCTGAGTGCTGTTATGTCAATTCTTGAACTCAACTTTATTTGTTCCACAACTGGTTTCTGCATGTTTGTCCTCATTTAATATCCATTATCCCTCTGCGGGTTCTGGGGTTACATTATGGGGAAAACAACAGTAGATCCACCACCTCCCAACATGCATGTTGTAAGTGTAGACTAATTGGGGGCTTCATTCAAAGTTGGATTGCTTCTGCCTGAGAGGCAAGGAACCAACAGTTTGCATACAAATAAGCAAGATCTGTAAAACGGATGCACGTGAAACATTTTATGTCCTGGAACAAAGCTACAGTTCACAACGGACCCAAAAAAAAAAAAAAAACACTAGGTCTTTCTGCCGGGATGCACAGCCAGTGAATGCAACTAACAATACCTATTAATACTTGATCAATATTAATATCATCATCATGACGCAGCAGGTCCTTTTCAGAATGTTGCTCTCACTAAAACAAAGCTAATTCCATGCCACAATGATCTGTGAAGCACATCTCTATGTTGCTGCAAGAAGGATGTAAGTTCTGAAAACATTTAATATAATTTGTTTGGTGTTGAAACATAGGCTCTTAATGCCATTTTATGACAATGGGTTGTAAACTGAGTAATATGAAGGTTCCCTTTAAGTGAGGATTGAACCATGTTCAATGTGTTCACACATAAGTGCCCTATTCAGTAAGATGCCATGGTACACATGCACATTTAAGAAAAAAAAAAAAGACTTCTAACATATAATTTTTTTTATCACACTTTTGCCTTACCACAATTTTAGCCTTTTCAGCTACTAGTTCCTTTGACAACTTTTTGGCCACAAGTCGGTAGTTGCGAGACAGCTGATTGCACAACCGAATCAACCAGTCAATGAAACTGTACCATATTGTGACGAAAAAATTCAATACCATCCACATTTTGCTCACAGCTGTAGATAAAAAAAATTTTTAAAAACTTGAGATGAAACAAAATGTTGGTAATAAGGTACTTTAATGTGAAAGTTTCACTAGATTAAATATGCTCAAAACAAAGGTAAATGCTCTAAAAGTTTTATGACTGTTTCAATAAATATGTAAAGGGACAATATAACTTCTCCTTAAAGTATTTTGACAGTCCCTTTCACTGTGTATTAAACAAGTTACTAGCCCTGAAAGTTCTATGGCTGCTCCATTAAATGTTCATCAAAAAAGTGAGCTTGTTCTGAAAGCTCTGTGACATCTCCATCAAATGTGCACAGAACAAAACCTAACTTGTTCTGAAAGATCTATGACTATGCTTCTAAGGCAGATGCATACTGACTTCGAAGGAAACACTCCTAATTAGTCGCCTCCTGTTTGACAGGCTTTGGGGGGGTGGGGGGGGGCAGTGGGTTTGTTCTTTTCCTCCAGAAATGGGCATTAGAACCCACATGAAGAAACTTAGTCTATTTGAAAGTAATGCTCTTATAAAGTCATTGTACTTGGGACTTTATCACACATGGCTCATCTCTTAGTCTATTTGAAAGTAATGCTCCTATTCTTCTTCTTCTTCTGCGTTCGACATCAGTCATGTCCCGTCTGGGTCACAAATAGGATTCTGCGTTTAAGGTCGCCACCGGTCCCCTATAGCTTCTCTTTCAATGTGGCTCCCTTGGGCCAGATCCACAATCTTTGCTGGGAGAGGTTAGGGCAGTACTGTAGTATGTGCCCAGGGGTCTGTCTTTCTGCTCCACAATCACAGGCAGCAGATTCTTTTATGCCTATCCTGTACAGGTAATGCTCCTATGAAGTAATTGTACTTGGTGCACCTGAGTTTATCGCACATGGCTCATCTCTCTTAATAATAATTTGCCACCTATTATAGCATTGCTAAAAGCATGAACGCTGTAGCTCCAGCGACGATCAGCTGGGATCTTGGTAAAATCATAAACCACCTGATACAGTCCACAAAATGCACACACGACCTTCAGAGAGTGGGGCAAACTGATTTTTCCTAGTAGTCGTTTCTAGCCTTTCAGTGTCTGCTCCAAAACCACTTGGGAGTAAATGAGTTAACAAGTTTTTCATTTTATTTGTTTGCACAGATACAAACTTTTTTTGCTGCAAGTACAACATGTGTGCGGCATCCGTGGCTAAGGCGTTGCGAGTCCGACTCGTAAGCCAGCATACTGCGATCGAAACCCACTGCAGGCTGCGTGGATTTTTGTCGTGGTATGGGATGTCGCAGGTCAACCCAGCCTAAAATGGGTACCAGGATGGGCTGTCCTGGGAAAGTAAAGACAGCCGGCGTAATGCTGACCACATTACCCACAGAGTGCTGATGGTCTGTAAAAATATGGGACGCTCTGCCCATATGCCCTATGTGCCGAAAGGCGTGAAAGGGATCTTTACTTTTTACTTTACTTTACTTACAACATGTGTGCTTTGGTGCTGGCCATCCATGTGAATGTATACTGTGTGAGAGAGAGAGACAGAGAGAGAGAGAGAGAGAGAGAGAGAGAGAGGGAGGGAGAGGGAGAGGGAGGGAGAGAGGGAGGGAGGGAGGGAGAGAGGGAGGGAGAGAGAGAGAGAGTGAGTGAGAGAGATAGAGAGAGAGAGAGATAGAGAGAGAGAGAGAGAGAGAGAGAGATGCACATGCACACAAACACACACATGTATTCATAACATTGCAACAAACTTACATGCAGGCTCTTGTTCTTCACATTCTTCTTTTCCTTCCTTCTGGCCTTGTTCCTGTGTGACAAAAGATTAATAATACTGAATGCTACATTATCACCTTAACTGAAACAGGTCTTACAGCCCAAAATAGAGGATAGGTTTGACAGAATGTTTAGCTTTGTGGTTATTTTTCTACTAACAGTGCTTTGCTAATGCAGTTTCCACATATGGGTGGAAAGTTTACAATTTTACTGCCTAAGCTACTGAGTTTAATGCTTGGTGTAGCACTGTGAGCTGTTTTTCATATAGAATGCTTGTTATTTCTGCAGGGGTTGTGTCATGGTATTCAGTATGGCAGGCATAAGATTTCCATGTTAGCCGGTGAAATACATTATGTAATAATTTTGCGTGTGTATGACCAACTTATTGTGACTGACTTCTTCTATCGACAACAAACTGTATGTCTGGTGGTGACTGTTAGCTCTGGGGCCTCTAGCAATTGCTTTATGCGTTTACTGCATGCAAATATTTCTGGCTTGTGCTGGAACTAACTGTTTGTTCACCAGTTTTTCAAATGTGACAGTGAGAGACATTTCATCTGATTTTCACTGGCACAGGAACGGAGCAAGTGTGGAGTAACCCAACTGCAATCAAGTCTAATTCTACTACTACTACTACTACTATGACTGAAATAAGTAAGGGCAGTAAGGATAAGTTAGAGAGAATCTTCATCAGTCAACAATGAAACTGAACAATATCATTAACAGAGGACGTTTTCAATGAAATTGGGCCAGAAATAATATTCTTAATAGACAAGTCTATAAATGTAATTAAAAGATTAAACTGCAGATAAAACAGAATAATATCATTAATAGATATGTCTTCAAATGAAACGGGCCTGTATGGGTTCTGGAACCCATTTTAATTTTGGGGTAGTAGGGGCAGGTAGAAGGACGGGGAGGGTGGGGAGGGGAGCTACTGCTTCTTAACAGGTATGCTGTAAATAGTAACTATTAGATATCTGGAAACCACCATGGTGGAGTGGCTAGAGTCTTACTTGCGATTTCGGAAGGTTGTGGGTACAGGTTCCTGACTTTTTTCCAAAAATGACCTTGGCTCCCAGGTCAAGCCAGTCTTAAATGGGTACCAGGTAAAGTCCTGGGAGGTAAAGGTGGCCGTGATGCTAACTACATCACCCATCAAGTGCCGATTGGTCTACAAAATTTAAGTTTAGTCCTATATGGCTAATACACCTGGAGACGTGCACAAATGTCCTTTACCTAATTGTACCTAATTAGGTATCTGCTGCAATCAGATGTGTTGGATCAAAAGGTGCAGATATGCCAGCCTAGCTGTAAACTACAACACAATATACTAACTGTCCTTTTAAAAGTGAACACAGAAGAAGAAGAAGAAAAGAAGAAGAAGAAGAGGAAGAAGAAGAAGAAGAAGAAGAAGAGGAGAAGGAAAAAGAAGAACAGATGAGTCTACAAATAAAACAACCATATGATCATTATTTTCACATGAAATGGAACAGTTATCATTAATACATGACAAAGGAGTGTCAAGAATCTTCTTATATGGTCTTCCACAATCTTTTTTCTTTCCATAAATATTTCCAATTGTCACAACATATTCCAGTTTCTTTCTTCTCAGAATGTATTAGAAATACAAAACAGAACAAGCATATTCTCAAAATATAAGATGAGATCAATTCAAGACTTACATCAGGCGAAGGACTGGGGTAGGTCTCAATGGCTGTCTCTATGTCTTGGTCCAAAGCTGTATTCACCACCTTCAAACAGAAATTAATCCAATAATTAATCAGTTATTTAATCATTCATTCCATTAACTGATCAATTAATAAATCATTCTATTAACTGATCAACCAGGGGATCTGGCCGACGCTCAACACTCAGGGGAAGGATGAGATGGATATACAATCAGACGGTTACTGGTACCATCGGAATCGTAACTCTTCACTTGCTGCTGAAGATGGGGACTGAGCACTTATGAGAGTGTCCCAATATTAATTGATCAATTAATCATTCAGTCCATCAAGTGCCATCTCCACAAGGACGGCTACAATAAATCAATTTCTCTCTCACTGTGGTGGTTGTTTTGATGCACCTCTCTCTCTCTCTCTCTCTCTCTCTCTCTCTCTCACCTCTCTCTCTCTCTCGTCTCTCTCTCCCTCTCTCTCCTCTCTCTCTCTCTCTCTCTCTCTCTCTCTCTCTCTCTGCTCTCTCTCTCTCTTCTCTCTCTCTCTCTCTCTCTCTCTCTCTCTCTCTCTCTCTCTCTCTCTCTCTCTCTCTCTCTCTCTCCTTCTCTCTCTCTCTCTCTCTCTCTCTCTCCTCTCTCTCTCCTCTCTCTCTCTCTCTCTCTCTCTCGTCTCTCTCTCTCTCTCTCTCTCTCTCTATCTCTCTCTCTCTCTCTCTCTGTCATCTCTCTCTCTCTCTCTCTCTCTCTCCTCTCTCTCTCTCTCTCTCTCTCTCTCTCTCTCTCCTAATCTCCCTCTCTCTCTCTCTCTCTCGCATCTCTCCTCTCTCTCTCTCTCTCTCTCTCTCTCTCTGTGTCTTGGTGTTATCTTCCCAGTTGTATAAATGCCTACTTTTTGCTACCCTCCTGGACTTTCCTTTCAGAACTTTTCTTTTTAAAGAACCCTGAGACAAAACATTGTGTGGGACAAACCAATGGCCCCCTGGACAGGATTCCATCCAGAACACTGAGAGAACTGCACCAGACAGAATGGAATGGAGGATTCAACTGAAGCCTTGTGTGGCAAGAGAATGATACTGATGACTTTTTATAAGAATGGCATGTCTGTAATCTGCTTTAAAAAAAATTATATAACTTTTTTGTTTTGGGGGTCACAAGGAACATACAAATGTGTGATCAACTATTATCCTTCTTTATTAAAAAAAAATGCATGATATATTGTTACATCATTTACATTTGATCTGAGCATATTAAAAAATCTGGTAACAAATTAAAGGACTGAACCTAGATGGCTATGTTGGCAAGCGCAATTCTATTGACTACTTACTATCATAGTTCATAGCTTCTTCCCTTTTTCCCTCTGCAATTACCCTTAAAATGGCTCTTAGCATGTAAAGTTGTTGCTTATGATAAGGCTGCGATATATGTCTTTCAGCCCACACAGTTCTTCTTTTTTCTTTTATCACCAGCAGTAAGCTCCGGCAGAAAGTCCTGGTCGTTTGTCCATTTGGACTTTTGCTTCGTGCCAGGGTTTGAGTTTTGCATGTACATCTGTTTTTATTGGCCTGTGTGTTGGTTGTTCCTTCCCGCTCGGGCAGATGTTGCCCGACTTCGAAAAAAGTCCAAAAAGATTAGCTGACTCCTACGACATGCTTCGTCGAGGAGGCAGTGGGACTATTCATGATTTCCCAATAATGGGGCACCCCAGAACCCATAAGAGAAAGCTTAAAAAGTTGATTCTGGCTAACCCTTAATCAGTTAGTTACTTGTTATGATTTGCTTGCTGGAAATAAAGTGGATCTCTCCCCCCCATCCCACCCCCCCCCCCCACCCCCCCCCCCCTCCGGGACCCCCAGAACCCACATGCGGAGGTTTACAGAGTTAATGATAGCAAATCTCTAAGATTTGATCTACCAGACAGTCTGAAAACAATGTACCTGTAATGGCGTCGGTGATGCGGTTTGATCCGCAGGCTCAGTGCCAAATGTTAGAGAAGTTACCTGTGTTTTATCGTCACTGTCATCTTCATGCTCAAACAGGTAGTAGTCACCTGCCCGGATTGCTGCAATGTGGAAAACAGAGACCATTAGAGAATAATTAACACTTTCATAAAATACAGGACTCTACAGATTTTGGACTAAGCACTATTATGACAGAAGTCACTGATGTAGAGTTTTGGACTGAGCACTATTATGATAGAAGTCACTGATGTAGAGCTTTGGACTAAGCACTATAATGATAGAAGTCACAGATGTGGAGCTTTGGACTAAGCACTATAATGATAGAAGTCACAGATGTAGAGCTTTGGACTAAGCACTATTATGATAGAAGTCACAGATGTAGAGCTTTGGACTAAGCACTATTATGATAGAAGTCACTGATGAAGAGCTTTGGACTAAGCACTATTATGATAGAAGTCACTGATGTAGAGCTTTGGACTAAGCACTATTATGATAGAAGTCACTGATGTAGAGCTTTGGACTAAGCACTATTATGATAGAAGTCACTGATGTAGAGCTTTGGACTAAGCACTATTATGACAAAAGTCACTGATGTAGAGCTTTGGACTGAGCACTATTATGATAGAAGTCACAGATGTAGAGCTTTGGGAGAGCACTATTATGACAGGTCTCTGATGTAGAGCTTTGAGAGAGAACTAAAACAAATTCCAGGGGACCAAACAGTGAAGAAAAGAGGCTTGCATTGAATGGGACACTAGCTTGAGAAAACTTGAGAACAAGATAACCAGAATGTCTTTGCACTGGAACCTTCAGGAGCATAGAAATAAAGGAAGACCAAAAAAAAAAAAACATGGAGAAGGTAGCTAATCCAACAAGAACAGAACAAAGATGTCCAATTCAGCTTCAGCTGCAAAAGCTAAACTAAATTATCCGAGGGACTATGTTCCACTTAGGGATAAATGGTACAAACAGAGACCATACCAAAGTACTGTGAATGTTACCCAGTCAAGTATCATTATGTTACCCAATAATGTACTTTAAGCCACTTCTTCTTCTTCTTCTTCTTCTTCTTCTCCTTCTTCTTCTTTCATTCGCTTGAAATTAGGGCTGTACCGAATAGTGGTTTTCACTATTTGGCCGAATACGAATAGTGGGACCAACTATTCGGCCGAATACGAATACGAATAGTGTATCATCATCATCAGGTGCCTCGCCAACTGGTGTGGCGATTTTGCCTCGCCACAATCTGCGATCTCCTGCAGCATGTATCAGTTTGTGTGCTGACACACCTCCATGACATGCAACGACTGTCAAGAATCTTCTCTCGTTGTCTTTTTCTATCTCTCCTTCCACAAATCTTTCCAGTGGTCACCACATGTTCCATTTTCACTCTTTCTATATGATGACTGTCTTCTTCTGATGTCTGCGATTAGTTGTCTTCGGCCTGACCGCCACTATTTGGCCGAATACCGAATAGCTAGTAGGTCCACTATTCGGCCCCGAAGCGAATACGAAGCGAATATTCGGTACAGCCCTACTTAAAATACATTATCTATATCTGCAATGTCATCTCTAGTATGAACTTCACTGACTTTTGTTCTTTAAGTTACTGAATAAATTACTCTGTATAATGAAAAATTACACTCATACATCACAATAAATGGCAGTGACACAAAGAGAAATGATTCCTTAAAATATCTAGGAAAGGGCTATTTAACGTGGGGGCCCGTGGGGGCCTAGAAAGTGGCCTGCTGATTGTTGTCAAAACAGTGAAATGTAGTTATATAAAAAAATTTGGCTTTCCTGTCAACTTAGGCCGTTAGCTGGACTGCCGCCGATCGCTTAGTGGGAGTTCTCTTCCTTGGCTGGAATGCGAACACGGAGCGGAAAAGTCACGAATCAAATGACATACTTACCTATCATCATACGGTTGCGTGTACGCTTGCGTAGTCATCATACGGTTACGGTTACCTATCATCATATGGTTGTGTGTACGGTTGTGTAGTCATCATACGGTTATCATAGGGTTTGGGTTAGGGTTAGGGATAGGGTTAGCGGCGTTAGGGGTTGGGTTACGGTTAGGGTTAGGGTTTGGGTTAGTGTTAGGCTTAGGGTTAGGGTTAGGATTAGGATTAGGGTTAGGGGTAGGGTTAGGGGTAGGCTTAGGGGTAGGGTTAGATGTGACAATTTTGACGTAGGAGTTCCAAATACTGGCCAACAATCTGATGCTTGTGGGAGTGGCGCCACTGAAATTCTCCCAACTATGACAGCAATAGCGTGCAGCTGGTGCCCCATCGGTGGTGAATTGTCCGTTTGAGTAGCATCCACAGTCCTTCGATTGTTTGGGTGTGTATGTGACTGTGCGCGATTATTTTGTAACTCCTGCGTCAAAATTGTCACATCTAACCCTAACCCTAACCCTACCCCTAACCACGCAAATTTATCGGCGGTCATTAAGTCTGTAGGAGTCACATCCCTGACAACTAATACCACTTTTATATAAGGATATATTTACTTTAAAAAAAAAAAAACAGATTTCCCCGAAGCGTCATATAAACAGCCAGATCTGGAGGAAACACCCAAGCATTGGCAGCCCTGTTGTCGACCTCACTGCCTTTTTTGATTCATGACTTTTCCGCTCCGTGTTCGCAATGCAGCCAAGGGAGAGAACTCCCACTAAGCGATCGGCGGCTTTCAAGCTATCGGCCTAAGTTGACAGGAGAGCCAAAAATTTTAATCAATCAATGTTTTTGTATACATTTTCAAAAAACAGTTGTGACGAATGTGTTAACAGGAAATGTCAGGAATCTGTAAATGCAGAGATTCAAGGGAATCGGTGTTGGAACAGAACATTTAATTAGTTCAGGTTAACAGCTAGTTCAAATAGTCTGTTGTGAGCCAATGGTAATAAGATATGCTGGAAAGAATCAAATAATGGGTATGAAAGCAATGAAGGTGAGATATTTATTGGACAGGAGGGTGTAGCCTATGAAAATACCAGCACAGTCCTGAGAGTTAGGACTTAGATTTCTGAGAAACTCTCCTAAATGGTGAACACTAGTATTTGAAAACTAATGACATTGGGTGCAGCAGAACATGAATGACACTGGACATCGCAGAACGGCTGCTAGTGATCTTGTTATCCTATTATAATCAGATTTTATGTGAACATCCATTCACACACAAGTCCCAGCCAGACGTAGTTTGCTGGACGGGATTGTGTAGTAACAAACTGAAACAGTGTTTTCTTCTTCTTCTTCTTCGCGTTCACCGGCTGTAAACTCCATTAGAAAGTTCTGGTTGTTCGTCAACTTCTGGACTGCAGTCCTGTTCCAGAACCTGAGTGTTGTGTGTGCATCCGTTTGACAAATCTGTAGGCAGACTGTTGGTTCCTTGCCTCTCAGGCAGATGCACTCCGACTTCGAAGGAAGCTCCCAATTAGTCGACTCTTACGACATGCTTTTGGGTAGGCAGTAGGTCTATTCTTGTTTTTCCCATAGTAGGGCCCCGGAACCCACACGGCGAAACAGTGTTTTAAATTATCTACTTTAATAATTAAGTTAAATACCTGATGCCATGGCTAGTACTAGGAAAAGAGCTAAGTGGGAATGCGAAAACCCTGCATTCAATGATGACTAACACTTAATATTTATTTATATCACCAGCTATGCCTAATTCGACATCAATGTGCTTGCTATGCAATGAATGTGTGTCAGCAGAAAAGGAGTACAATGTGAAGCGGCATTTTACAACGAAACATGCTGATTTTGGAAAATCCTATCCAGGAGGTTTCGCTGCTGGGAAATCAAAGGTTGAGTCATTGATTGCTGCTTATCAGCATAGCAGCAGAATTCTTGTGCGAGCTTGTACCTTACAAGAAAAAGCTATGGCAGCTTCTTTGCATGTTTCATGAATATCAGCCAAAAAGAAGTGGTCTTTCACTGACTCTTTCATGTCAAACTTTTCAGATAATAAAATTTTTCTTTTTAAAGAACAACATAAACATTAAGTTAAAAGACACCACACATGTCAAACTTTTCAAATGCAAAACAACCTTTGTTAAGAACACCACAAACACAATAAAGTTAAAAGACACCACACATGTCCAACATTTTAGCTACCACAACCTTTGTTAAGAACAACGTAAAGACAAATAAGTTCAAAGACACCACGTTTTTCTCAGATACAACAACCTTTGTTAAAAACAAAACAAACACAACTAAGAAGACCAATATAAATCAGGGCTATTCAACTAACTTGTCTCAGGGGCCAAAATGCAAAAAAATGGGAATCGAGCCCAAGCATAGAAGAATATCATTAATACAATACAACTAGCAATGCAGGTCACTAGCTAGGCCTTGGCGGGCCAAATCTGGTCCGTGGGCTGCCAGTTTAATAACCCTGATATAAATTATAACCCACAGTGCATGGACACCTTACACAACTGTATATATATATATATATAATTAAAAACAAAATGGCATTCAAGCAGTGCATACTTTCCAGATAGTTATAATGCACAGTACTTTCAGACTAAAAAAATATAAATAAGGGAAGAGAACAAAATATGGATGTCAGATCAAGAAAGCTTGTGAAAAAAAAGGGGAGTTTTGTGTGTGTGCGTGTGGATATGATAAGAAAAGAAAGAGAGCATCCACAGGAGTATCAACTCCTGTCAGATGGATACAAGTCTTCTGATGTGCCTGGTGTGCGTCTCGTTTTTTTTGCTATGCCGATCTTAACTCCCAAGTCAATCATTCTGGCGAGTGATGTGAATTCACTGCTCTCAAAGTCTTCAGAGGGCATTAATAATAGCATGATCCATAGATTGACCATCGTTGGTGGTAGCCAACCTATCAGCTCTTTCATTTCCATTGACTCCTGCGTTTCCCGGCACGAAAAAAAAGGTAACTCCACGCAGTGTAATGGTTTAAGCCATTGCCTTCGTACCGAACCTGCCTGAACCCTCCGGATCATACTCACTGAATCATTGAGTACATGTGCGGGTGTAGTTTTGTGTTTTGAGCCAAATGAATGCTTGCATTACTGCAATCACCTTCATCGCCATGCTACTGGTTGTCATGGAGAAGTTGCCGTTGGCTTCTTTGACTGTTCTCCCCATTGAGGGTGCTGTGAATGCCCATATGCTTCTTTGTTGGCATATAACACATCCGTCTGTGTAGATCGGTACATCTGCCTCGTCTGAATTTTCACCGCCGAGAGCATTGACCTCTACACTGACAGCAACAGGATTCTGCTCCCTCCATCACCTGTCGAGTGTGGCAATACAGGAAACTACAAATAAATGTATGAGGCACGGGTATCCATTCTGCACCAGGGGTGATGTTGGTTAGGCAGAACATTTGCTTGCTAACATCTTCTGCCCGACCTAGTCATGATTTTCCCCTCTTCCGCCTGTCACCCTTTTTCTTTATCAGCACATATTTTAAGATAATGATTAAAGGTAATGATTAAGGTAATGACCCCTTTATGTTTACAGGAAATGAAATTACTGGAAGCACGACTGTTAGAATGTCATTTGACATCTGTCAAATTTATCAAGAAGCAGCCCGTTAGATGTCTTTTGGTCTGTCAAGTCTGCATCAAGCCACATTTCTTGAAAATAAATGTGCACATGAGATTGCGAGATGTGCAGGAAAACGAGTCCTTTAAGTAAAAGATCCCCTAAAGAAATATGGCCGGATAACATACTTGCACATAAGGCACATTCTCTGGATATACTTGGATGTATCAAAATGTGAGACAAATTTTGGAAAGCATCCACAGACGACCAGAACTCTGAAATTTTTGTTATGATGACAGATTACTATCAGAGTCTCTGAGAATAAGACTGGAGTGACTTTGTCTGATCTTAGATGGACCAGTGATGGAAGAAATTACTTTTGATGACAGAGAACATGGATTTCCCATCAGGATTCCATGGCATATGGTGCTATCCACACATTTGCATAGACCATTTGGCACTTAATGATGATGACCATTGCTACTTCTCAGAATATTTTCTTGCACCCATTTAAAGTTGCTTCACCAGTGGGTTCTTAATTAAATTTAAAAAACAATTCTTGTACCAATTTAAGGTTATTTCACCTTGGGGTTTTTAGTGAACAAAGCAGTACTTCTACCTATGTTAGGTTGCTTCAGCATAGGGTTCTTAATTAACGAAACAATTCTTGTACCTATTTTAGATTTTTTCACCACAGGGTTCCTAATTAACTTAACAAAACAATTCTTGCACCCATTTTAGGTTGCTTCACCATGGAGTTTTTGATTAACGAAACAATTCTTGTACTCGTTTTAGGTTGCTTCGTCATGGAATTCTTAATTAATGAAACAATTCTTGCACCCATTTTAGGTTGCTTTTTCATGGGATTCTTAATTAACAAAACAAATCTTATACCTATTTTAGGTTTTCTGACCATGAGGTTCTTAATTACATTAACAAAACAATTCTTGTACCCATTTTAGGTTTTCACCGTAGGGTTCTTATTTAAATTAACAAAACATTTCTTGCACCCATTTTAGGTTTTTTCTTCATGAGGTTCTTAATTAAATTAACAAAACAATTCTTGAACCCATTTTAGGTTGTCACCATAGGGTTCTTATTTAAATTAACAAAACAATTCTTGCACCCATTTTAGGTTGCTTCACCATGGGGTTCTTAATTAAAGTAACAAAATTCTTGTACCCATTTTAGGTTGAGACACGAATATGTGTACCGTTGGCATACTGTAAAGTGACCAATGACAGCTCTGACAAAATGTATAGGTGACAATTGCAGAACTGCACTTAGATGACTCTGGCCGAGTGCCAACAATATAATGACCCAGCCTTGAGTGAGTACCAAGTGAAGTCCTGGGAAGTAAAGGCGGCCAGCACGATATATATATATATATATATATATATATATATATATATATATATATATATATATATATATATATATATATATATATATATATATATATATATATATATATATATATATATATATATAGACAGTGAGATAAATATAGAATCACAACTCACCCTGGAAATGTTCCTCTGGTTCCTTGTAGTCTTTCATGACAATGGCTTGTTTCTTTTTTAATGCTGCCATCTGCTTTTTGATGTTTGCGAGGATGCTTCGTTCTTGTTCATTCTGTTTGTTCACCTCTCTAATCATGATTCGATTGATGAGTTCTGCGCCCCTGAAATCCAGTAAAAGATCAATATAAATAATGAAAGCAAAACTTCATATTAGATCATTTCTGAACAATCATTTGGTTTTATGATAATATTCTTCTTCCGCCATTTATCTTCCAGTGAAGCAACATTTCAATGTTAAATTGACTTTGACGTGGATTGGTGTCTGCGTGATCTACCTGCTCTGGCATGGATTCTTTGCTGTCACACGCAGCTAGCTCCACAATAATATTAAACAGATCATCACAGTCCGGAGAAAATGGTGCTGCACAAAGTCAGCAGGGAATCTGGGTGAAACTCAATATTCAGTTTAAAGTCAAGGTGGACTTGAAATCAGACTGATACTGGTACCATCAACAAAACTGGAACTATGCGCTGGCTGTTGAAGATGAGGAGAGAGTCCTTAAGGGAATGCCTAGAGTGCTATCAGATTTTACCTCAGATAATGAAATTACATTTGTTCTGTGTTACAGGTATTGTTGTAGAATGTTGAAATGTTGAATGTTGAATCGACATCTCAGCACTCGGGACACTCCCGTAATGCTCCATCCCCATCTTCAGCAGCAAGTGAAGAGTTCCAATTCTGATGGTACCAGTAACTGTCTGATTATATATCCATCTCGCCTTTCTCTTGAGTGATGAGGGTCGGCCAGATCCCCTGGTAACTCCTCGCAGCACCACTCTCCTCAGACTGTAAGGATCTATTTATGCCTCCGTGCTGTTCCCTCGCTCCCAAAGGGCCGGTATTTGGGTAGATTCATGAGAACAAAATGCCAAAGACCGTGTTGCATGGAGGGGACAACCAGGAAGGGAATGGAAAAAAAGGGAAACAAAATTATTGTAGATAAGTTGAGAGCTGAGCGTCTGAGAAGAAGTGATCTAATACGTGTGATGGCAGCAACATTCCTGAAATCCCATGCTCTTATTGTGGAAGAAGAATTTGGTAGTCATACTCGCTATTGCCATTGGCTGTGCTACTCATGCTTCCCATAGCACAATTTAAATTTGGAAAGATAGAGAGGTGCCAACAATTGTCCTTTATTCTCTACCTTTTTCCTCTATATCTATGAACGCTCATAAACAACTGTAAACTTATTTATCATGGAATCCCAATGGACTCAAGAGTTTCCCCAACCAATTATATTGTTTTTTGATTAATTATAATACAATAGGGGAGCTGTCGTGATGTAGCAGTTAAACACTCGTGTGTGGATCCAAATGGCATGGGTTTAAATCCAGACAGTGCTGGAGTGTTAAAAAATGACCTTCGCTTACAGCTCAGCCTAGCCTTAAATAGGTACCACGTTCAAGTCCTGGGATGTAAAGGCAACTGGATTTATGCCGGCCACATCACTGACCAAGTGCCAACTATAAAGTTTATATAAAGTTTAGGTCTTGCTCTCTATGCCCAAAACGCCTGAAGGCATAGGAAAGAGTCCTTTATAATACAACTGAACCAGCCAATCATCTTTAAATGTTAGTTATATACTATGTAGTGAGTTCATTTTCTCCCAATTAATTTATGCCCGACAGATGACGTCAGTAATAAATGTAAGGGGAATGTTTTGACTGACTGGGATAACACGAGATTTGTGTCTTGAGTTTCATGGGAGACATCTGAAAGTCAGGTTTTATGTGAAACATGATTGTTCACGTGAACCATGAAGGTTGACTGGCAGGCTTCGTGTGAAATGCGAAAAATCATGGGCCAGACACGATTTTCAGCGGCGGGGAATTCGTGAGAATGAAGTTATACAGAATATTCGAGAAGAACATGACATAGATTAGAGAGCTATATAATAGCGGAGAAAGGACTGAGAGGCAGTCTCGTTTGGATCCAGGAACCAGTGCGCATGGACAGGAAGACGTGTGTAGTCTACGTGTGTTGAGCGGATGTGTTCCTATCCAACTTGGCGGAGAAGCTGGCAGACAAACTGTCTGCGGGCATGTTGGTTATTTCTGTTATAACAGCTGTGTGTTTCGTAGTGTAGGAAGATTGTGATTTCTGACAGAAGGTAATGAAAGTCTAGCATTTATTATTCCAATGATCATGTGTGCCTGGACAATAGTCTGTTTTCATGTGCCGGCTGAGTAAGCCGCGAGCAGGAAATTAAAGTACTGAACAGTATCGTGTTGTTGTTCCAATCTTCCATTTTCTGCTCGTCATGTGATGTCGGTACGTGAGCGTTGCGATGATGCGAGCCAGATAAAGATCGAAGAGAAACATCGCATACTAGCACAACATTAAGTAGAATGTTTTTTTGTTTAACCTAAGCTAGTTAGTTCTTTCAGTCACAACTCAGCATGTGTGAGCGGATTTACTCAAATGCACCAGTTAACATATTATTATATTTGTAAATGTTATGTTTAGCCGGGGCATGCTAAAACACTCAACAACACATTTGTCTCCCACAAGGGATGTGTATTTGGGCCCTGGGGATGCAGTGTACCCATTATTTTATTGATTTCACAATGAACTCACTGAGGTATCAACTGTGGACCTTCTGGGATGGAAAGAATTAAGGAAGGTTACTTTATGAAACCCACCCTATCAGACATGTCGTAAGAAGCAACTAAGGGTAGGGTTGGGCTTGAGGTTGGCTACCTCACCCTGTAAAAACAAAAGCCACAAAAACCAACCAACTATAAAAAAGTCAAACAGGTATATTAGAAAAGCCCAGCAAACCAAGATGAGGGAAGGCTCTTCTAGTAGAAGAAGTATGACACAGTGTGGAGAAAGCCAAAAGGAGTCTGTGTCATTGACATACCTCCTCTCACCTAGGAAAATCTCCAGAATTGGCATATGGAATGTTATAACTTTTTAACGATGAGGTTAGCTAGAGTGTGAAGATAAAAAAGATGTGGAGGATATGGGGAGTGCTGCATGCGATAGCGAAGGATAGAATGACTTGGTGTAAGCTGGTTGAGGGCCTATGCTCCATTGGGGGGTTACCAAAAGTGACTGACATAATTGACATGTATCTGATTAAACTTCCTGACATGGACTGGTATTTATGTGACTAAATGCTGATATCAAATGACATCTAAACTGACTTTGACATGAGTTAGAATCGATGTGATTAAACAACTGTGGCACGAATGGCATCTATGCGATCTACCGATCTACTGACTCTGACACAGAACGGCATCTATGAAATTAAATGCTAATATCGAATGACACCTAAACAGACTTTCATATGGACTGACAAGTATTTGATCAAATGCTGGCATCGAATGACATCTAATGTGACATTTACATGGACTGGCCTAATGTTACTGTGATATGGTCAGGACAAAACATAACTTTGTATAGATGTGACTGCACTTACTTTGACACCAGGTTGTTCTGAGCCCTGATTGTGTCCACAACATGTCTGAAGTAATGAGAAGAGTAGATTCGTCTCTGCAGAAGCAGGAACGTCAGGCAAACGACATCCCAGGCCAGGCCAGCATCATCCTTCTCAACCTCACATTTGCTGCTTGACACTGGTAAATATGTTGGGAAGAAAACAATAAAGCTCCATTTAAATGTGAGTGTGATAGATGTGGACTTTTATTTTTATCCCCCTTTTTTTCAAAATGACCCTGGCTCCCACGTTGACCCAGTCTTAAATGAGTACCAGGAAGTAAAGGTGACTGGCATGTTACTGACCATAAAGAAATGGTTTTAAATCTGCCAACTATCTCACCTCATGTGCAGTTAAGTCATTAAATAGTAACTGGCTGATGTAATCTGACTTTGTGCCATTCAGTTGAAGAATAGTAGTTGGTCAGTGAAACTAGAGGCATCAGATTATGTCCCCTTTATACCTCTGTCACCAATAAGTTTGTAAAAAGAATTTTAAAAAAATTAAAGGACCCTTTTGAGGGCTTTCAGCCATACTGGGCATAAAGGCTAAACTTATATTTTATAGACCCATCGGCCCTGGAACAAGTCTAAAGTTCAGAGGTAGTTGAACAACCAGAACTTTATGCCAGAGTTTACAGCCAGTGAAAGCGAAGAAGAAGAAGGAGATCAGGTTACTGCCTTTTTAAAAACGAACATACAAGAAGACCCGACAGATAAAACTCTAACAAATGTTGGTTTTGAACCAGGAAATGCTCGGCAAGAAACTACTAACTCCAACCATAATGAACTTACCTTTCTCAGCATTACCCAGGAGGCAGTTCACCCCAAACAGTTGCACCAGCCAGCACTGGTGTTCTTTGACCAATGTCTCCACATAGACACAGCCCACAAGCTGAAGAATATTAATGAGCTCTGTTATATTTGTTAAAGGGCAGCTATCAATCAGTTAATCAAAGTTCAAACTCTGACTACAGAAAATTGGTCACCCCATAGTTGCTCTATCCTGTGCCAGTGAAAAACTACACAGAATGCCCATCACTATCCCTTAGGCTATGCAAAACCAATAGCACAGACATGCATTGAGTCTCTCAGCCAAACACAACTGACTTCAGCAAAACCTGAATTAGTCATCTTTTATGTCATGCTTGTTGAGAGACAGTTCTATTCGTTCATCCCCCCCCCCCCCCCGCACACACACCCACATGGGGCCCAAACCCTGATAGGTATCCCTCGGCCACGGTACACTCTGTTAATTACACCTCAATCTATTCAATTTTTTTAAATTTTATTTTAGAAATAAAGGCTGGTTTGGTTTGTAACATGACATGTGGTTATAGACCTGCTGTCTGCTGCCTTGGAGGATTTGCGTAGTGTTTGAGAAGGGTAAGTAATAAGGAAAGTACCACTAAATACAAATGGGTCAAAGAATTAACTGATTTCCCTGCCTATGAATATGTAAAAGTAGTTTCAAAAACACTGCCACAGAGAGCAATGTGACATAATAATTAATTATATGAAGTCATGGTAGATCCATAATTTAAAAAAAAAATCTTTTTTTTTTCTATTAAACATAATATCTTGATTAAAAAAAATATATATAATTGCATCCACAATGTCTAAACACCATGCAGCTGCAATCAGTATCAAAGCTGTCAAACAGGCTTACTGGGCACTGTCCAAAGACATCACGTAACCAAAACCCATAAAAGCCGGAAAAATGGCTTTCTCAGGGTGAGAAGGTTAAAAAGTAAAAATGCCTTTTCCACAATTCTGGGGCATAAGTCGCAAAGCCTAGACCTAGATTTGTTTATAAACTATCTGGTATGCAATGGGTGAAGAGGTCAACATGATACTAACTGGCCTTACTTCCCTGTGCATTACCTGGTATCCACTTGAGACTGGCTTAACCTATAAGTCAAGGTTAATTTTGAAAACCTGACCTTGGCTCCCAGGTCGACCCAGCCTTGAATGGGTACCGGGTGCAGTCCCGGGAAAGTAAAGGCGGCCGGCGTGATGCTGACCACATCACCCATCTTGTGCCGATTGGTCTATAAAAATATAGGTCTAGCCTTATATGCCCTAAACGCCTAAATGCGTGGAAAAGGGTCCTTCACTTTACTTTTGTTAATTTTGAAAACTAGCTCGATTTTCATGTTTGTTGTACATTTCATCAGACATCCAAGGGAAGTGGTGTTTGCAACATTAGTGGCTGAACTATATTACTAAGCTTAGGCAGTACTGTGTAAACAAAGCTGGCTTGTGTAACTAACTGCTTACATCATCAGTGAGCTACAATTCGTGTGTAGGTCTGTTAGTGTTGGCACATCTGATGGCTGCCTTAGGCAATTTACTTTATGTGTGTAGGCTTCAAGATTTTGCTGGTACTGACATGTTTTTTTAAACTAGTTTTCAAATGGCTTGGTGAAGGACATTTTGTATGATTTTCACAGACACAGGAACAGTAAAAGGCCACACTGCCTGTGTTAAAGTTGTGGGCTTGACTAACGATGGGCCACACTGCCTGTGTTAAAGTTGTGGGCTTGACTAACGATGGGCCACACTGCCTGTGTTAAAGTTGTGGGCTTGACTAACGATGGGCCACACTGCATGTGTTAAAGTTGTGGGCTTGACTAACGATGGGCCACACTGCCTGTGTTAAAGTTGTGGGCTTGACTAACGATGGGCCACACTGCCTGTGTTAAAGTTGTGGGCTTGAATAATGACTAATGACTCCACTAAGCAATGTAACTGTTACCTAATAAATTAACAATGATATAACCCTGATATATAAATATTCGAATATCAAGATTTCTGTTTTACCTGAAGTGCTGTCTTGAAAAACATGACAAGGATGCAGTAGCCAACCAAATAGTTCCACCTAGGGGAGACACAAAAACATAAACAAGTTACAGAAAGAAAGAAATTCCAACAAAACTATTTTTTTTTAAATGCCAAAAAAAAAAAAAAAAAAACATAAAAAATTATTTAATAATAAAAATTAAAAAAAAAAAAAAAACTCATTCATTCATACCCCAACCATAGCAAAACATTTTTCTATGCGTGTGTTGGTATTTGGCACCCATGTGGACCCAGTCTAAACTGGGTACCTGGTTACGTCCGAGTACTGGTCTATACAATTGTAGGTCTAGGCTTAAACAAAATGCACGAAGAGCTTCCTTTACCTCTGATTTGATTTGCTTTGTGTTGGTGAGTGAGCTTCTTTCTGCATTATGATTTTTGTCTACTTCTGTTTCTCTGAGGAGAGGCTGGCCAAGTGGTTAGAATGCTGGGCTCTCACACGGGAGACTCGGGTTCGAATCCTCGGTAAAGCTGGGGATTTTTTTCTGTTGGGGGCAAAATAAAATCCTCACCTGCACAGTTGCGGCGACAACACTAGCCATGCGGCCGTAAATCCCCAGGCTCAAAGACCCTCCTGCTTACACCTCAAAAGTGGTATAGATAAAATCAGTAGCTGGCAGTTGTCTGCCTCACTCCTACCACCCATATAAATCTTGACTATTTACATTTCTGTAGCTTTCTGTTATTCCATCTCACTTCTGCTGTCATCCTCTCTCCATGTCTACATCTATGTTACCCCTATTTTCTCATTACGCTTCTCCACCCTCTACTATCTATCTGTCATCAAAGAACTTTTGTTTCAGTTGAGATAAGTCAAGAATTGAAAGAGACATCACAGCACTCGGGGCATTCTCATGTGTGCTGTGACCTCATCTTCAGCAGCCAGCGCAGAGTTCCAATACTGATGGTAAGGGTCACAATCTGGTTATATGTCCCTCTTGCCTTTCCTCTGAGTGTAGTGAACCGGCCAGACCCTCTGGTTACACCCAGGTCCCTCATTCTCTCCAGGCCATACTAATCTTGTTTCTCTACTGATTCCGTTGCTTGTTCCCAGAGAGCGTTTCAAAACAAAGCAATGAATATGAAATAAACTAAACTATTTTTAAAAAAAAAACATCCTAATACTTACATTCTCAGCATTGACCTCAGTGGTTTCAGGAAGAACTCCTTGCCGAACCACATGAAGCAGAAGACAGCAATGACATAAAAGAGGGAGAAAATGTTTATCCGTGTGGCCCCAGTGATGAAGACGATGGCCATGGTCAGCCAGAACATGTGTTCAAATATCAGATGCTTCACCATGTCGATGCCCTTCCTGTAAGAGAACAAGACCAATGAGTAAAAATATATGTGTGTGTTTTGGGGGAAGGAAAAAAAAAAGGGGGGGGGGGTGTGGATGTGTGTCTGATAATGACAAAGGCAGAGATTGATATACATTTAGATAAACAGGCAGTGAAACATGTAGGCAGGTGTACAGACAGACAAATTAGACAGACAGACGGACGGACGGACGGACGGACGGACGGACGGACGGACGGACGGACGGACCGACGGACCGACGGACCGACGGACCGACGGACCGACGGACCGACGGACCGACGGACCGACGGACCGACGGACCGACGGACCGACGGACCGACGGACCGACGGACCGACGGACCGACGGACCGACGGACCGACGGACCGACGGACCGACGGACCGACGGACCGACGGACCGACGGACCGACGGACCGACGGGACCGACGGACCGACGGACCGACGGACCGACGGACCGACGGACCGACGGACCGACGGACCGACGGACCGACGGACCGACGGACCGACGGACCGACGGACCGACGGACCGACGGACGACCGACGGACCGACGGACCGACGGACCGACGGACCGACGGACCGACGGACCGACGGACCGACGGACCGACGGACCGACGGACCGACGGACCGACGGACCGACGGACCGACGGACCGACGGACCGACGGACCGACGGACCGACGGACGACGGACCGACGGACCGACGGACCGACGGACCGACGGACCGACGGACCGACGGACCGACGGACCGACGGACCGACGGACCGACGGACCGACGGACCGACGGACGACCGACGGACCGACCGACCGACTGACTGACTGACCGACCGGACCGACCGACTGACTGACTGACCGACCGGACCGACCGACTGACTGACTGACCGACCGACCGACGACCGACCGACCGACCGACCGACCGACCGACCGACCGACCGACCGACCGACCGACCGACCGACCGACGACCGACCGACCGACCGACCGACCGACCGACCGACCGCCCGACCGACCGACGACCGACCGACCGACCGACCGACCGACCGACCCGACCGACCGACCGACCGACCCGACCGAAACGACCGACCGACCGACCGACCGACCGACCGACCGACCGACCGACCGAACCGACCGACCCGACCGACCGACGACCGACAGACAGACAGACAGACAGACAGACAGACAGACAGACAGACAGACAGACAGACAGACAGACAGACAGACAGACAGACAGACAGACAGACAGACAGACAGACAGACAGACAGACAGACAGACAGACAGACAGACAGACAGACAGACAGACAGACAGACAGACAGACAGACAGACAGACAGACAGACAGACAGACAGACAGACAGACAGACAGACAGACAGACAGACAGACAGACAGACAGACAGACAGACAGACAGACAGACAGACAGACAGACAGACAAGACCGACCGACCGACCGACCGACCGACCGACCGAACGACCGACGACCGACCGCCGACCGACCGACCGACCGACCGACCGACCGACCGACTACCGACCGACCGACCGACCGACCCGACCGACCGACCGACCGACCGACCGACCGACCGACCGACCGACAGACAGACAGACAGACAGACAGACAGATAGATAGATAGATAGATAGATAGATAGATAGATAGATAGATAGATAGATAGATAGATAGATAGATAGATAGATAGATAGATAGATAGATAGATAGATAGATAGATAGATAGATAGATAGATAGATAGATAGATAGATAGATAGATAGATAGATAGATAGATAGATTAGATAGATAGATAGATTAGATAGATAGATAGATAGATAGATAGATAGATAGATAGATAGATAGATAGATAGATAGATAGATAGATAGATAGATAGATAGATAGATAGATAGATAGATAGATAGATAGATAGATAGATAGATAGATAGATAGATAGATAGATAGATAGATAGATAGATAGATAGATAGATAGATAGATAGATAGATAGATAGATAGATAGATAGATAGATAGATAGATAGATAGATAGATAGATAGATAGATAGATAGATAGATAGATTAGATTGATTAGATAGATTAGATTGATTAGATAGATTAGACAGACAGACAGACAGACAGACAGACAGACAGATAGAGAGAGAGATAGAGAGAGATAGAGAGAGAGAGAGAGAGAGAGAGAGAGAGGGAGAGAGAGAGAGAGAGAGAGAAAGAGAGAGAATATGCACATAGGACTATATTTCCTATAATAAAATGTATGAAAATCATGCCCTTTGTAGATTTATCCATCACTGGTCTGATTTTGTAGCTAATATTTTCTTTGAAATGAGGCAGCCAGTCTTATTCCAACTTTCCTTAACTACATTGCATGTCAAGCATGGCAGATTACAGTAATCCTTTTCCCAAAGGCCCTAGTGGCATAAAAATGAAAAATGATGATTGTGTGAAGAACTAATGATGGAAAACAAAGTACAAATTGACAGATGTTATATGTTAAATTATATACACATTTTCCAGCACTTGTTTACAATGTTTACAAGAAAAAAAAAGTAGATATATAAACACATATCTTTACACTCTTCCTCCCCCACCCTCTGCCAATTTTTTTCAGATGAGAAGGTTGCATGCCACCATGAAGTCTGTGGTAAGTAAGGGTCCCTTTTCCACACCTTTAGGCGTATAGGGCATATAGGGCTAGACCTATATTTTTATAGATTAACCAGCATAAGATGGAGAAGTCTGTGGTGCCACACATGTATTCCATTATTCACGCAGTTTGGCTTCCATTAGAATGCCAACTGGCCAAACTTGTGTTCTCTCTAATGGATGTTATGAGCATGTATGTATCACATGTTCAGTGTTCTGTGGTGCCTGTCTACATGGAAAAGTTCTGAATCCCTAGTCTAGAATTTTCTGTAGATATGGCTCCAGAGTCTGTTGTGTCGAGTACGCAGTCTAAATGGTCTGTTTCTTTTATGTAAGGATATTGATTGGGTCTGCGAGACAGGAAAATCATGCGGTAGACAACCCATTGTTACATCAGCCAGAAAAGAATGGGAGTTGTTAGCCCAGACACACTTAGAGACATACTCAGGAGGAGATCGAAGCATTTATGGTCATGTCTGATGTGCGATGAAGATGATCTCTAATATGAACTATGAATTATGGGTCTGCAGGATTTTGTCCTGGATGAGAAGTGTTTGAATGGATCCAATACTTTATTCTAATATTTTCTCTAAAAAAATGAAATAATAATAAAACTGAATTGTCTTAGCCAAATAATTAATCTTACGTTTGCTCTAGAGTAAAGTCTTTGCAAGGGATAGGTTTATTCTGCTCCACGTCATCCAAGATGTCTGCGTTGTCCCCTCCACCATAACGTTCCATCCTTTCACGGTTACCTTCAATGCTGAAGACAAACGCTTGTAGACTGACAAACAGCAGCTGAAGAAAGTCGGCTGTGTAATAAAACACCATGATTAAACATGGCTCTGAAACATTCTAAAACAAAAGGTAGTGGAAAAAGTGTATGTCAAAATCTGTTATTTAGAATCTGTCCATGTTTTTTTACTATTCTTCTGTTTCTGTCTATTATTCTATCAATGAAGCATAGGCAGACATCATTTTGTGTCAAGCCTTGAGATTATGGCAGTAATGGGACATGAACAAAGATGCTGTTCACGATGTTTCAGCATGTGATCCTGTCAGTGATAGATTATGGACATGGAATGCTTACCATATCAAAGAGTCAGCTGATGTAACGAACCCATACAGATTGAAGCCATAGGGGTAATTCTGGGATGTACAAGAGATAGTCCAGTAGTATGAATGAGAATTATATTTTAACTGCCTACTAGTGCTAATAAGCTCAAAGTTCTGCAATCAAAGTCATATCTCAGAGTAGCTGCAGACAAGAAGCACCTCCTGCATAAAACCCTGGGTAGAGCTAAGGGTCACAGACTGAAAAGAGGAAGGTCTTAGATGGTGCAAGTTGAAGACACGATTGGACATGTGTGCAAGCTTGATCATTTTGTGCGAGGAGAGGAGTGAGTCAAGGTATCCAAACTAAGTTTCAGACTTGTGTAGGGTTCTTATCACTTAGAGTCGTGAGAGCAGGGACTGGCTAGCTGGTGCAGCAGAATCAGAAGTTCAACAAATGATTCATAAGGCAGGAGATGTGATTTACTATACAGATGGTTCTGTGTTGAGGGACAGACGAAGTGCATATGGTTTCATAGCAAAAGCGAATGGATGTCTCTTGTTACAGCAAAGCCTAGCATATGATATCACAACGTCTAGTAAGCAGTTTAATTTTTTTAGTTAATTTTTTTGGAGAAATCCTTAGTATATTATTACCTAACCAGGGTATTTTCCACAGTTCTACAAAATGATATCTGTTACATCAAAAGACATGTATTACATAAGAAACTGATAATAATTATAATAAAATCAATGAGACACCATACCTAAAAGTTGCAATTTTATTAAAGGTAAAGATGATAAGATCGACTTCACTGCACTAGGTTTTATCCCATATGGCTCAGTCTCTCTCCACAGAGCACAACCTCTATAGCTCTAGTGACGATCCCCAGGGATCTCTGTATAAAACTGCACTTGTGAACTGAATAGCGCCACCGTGAAATGAACCCATGACCTTCAGAAACTTACTATGAGCACAAGAGAGTGTGGAGGTTTGATATAGTCTGGTAAATACAACCACTGCTTCAGGTTTGGTGTCAAGTTCTTGTTTTCTGCCACGGGTATTCTGTAGAACACATTATCACAAGTAAACTATTGCCACAATTTGCGAAGTATTTCCTTCTTTTAACAAACACAAATTTCTTCAATAGAAAATATATTAAGCACTGACTGTTACTTACAAAGTACTCCCACAAAAATGCTTTAAGGATTTATTAAAGATTTATGCAGAACAAATGATATCATTGCTCTTTGGACAAGCCAAAAATGCTTAGTCTTTCCAGCAAACTCAATGAGTTTAAGATGTGCAGTTGGAATCCAGAGCTGTTCCAAGTTTTTGTCTACTGATTGTTTCTATGAGAAAGCTCCACTGGTTGTAGCAGGGTCTGCATGCTGAAAGCGTACTGAGTCACTTCAAAGATCCACTGTGGCATGGAGTTAACTTTATATTTTCCTCCAGGTATGTGGGTGTTGTTTTTTTGGAAATGAAAGAACTCACAGACTGACTAGCTCTGCCTTAGTTGCAGATGGTCAGTCTGCAGATAACACAGATTTATTAATGCTCTTAGAGACAGAGAATGAACAGAAGTTTTTTGGGCAGCATATCAACGCTGCTGCTAAGATTCAAGAGCTGGGAGTAAAGATCACCACAATATACTCACGTATGCAAACACCCGGGGGAAGCCAAGAACAACAATAAACTGAACAGCTAGCAAAATGGCCAACACCAGCTTGTAGATGGGCCACAGGTTGGCTATGGTTCTCCGAGACATCATCATGATGGCAGCAACTAACACAATATATACCAGGGCCACAGCATCCACCCGCAGACAAACAGTCACCGCAGTCATGATGTAGCCGCACTGAAAGTTGAAAATGTACATCATCATTCAAATAGTGCACTTTAGAATAAGACATGAAAATATCGTAACGATAGCATTTTAACTAGAAAAGTTTACATTTTTATTCTGTAAAAACATTTGGAAAAACACGTTCTAAACTTATAAAATCTGGAGTGGTCCACGGAAGTATTACAAACTTATTTTTTTCCAAGCCATTTTAAAATAAAATTGTTTTTTATTTCTTCGCCTAATATGTGTAAATGTTATACAGCTACATTTCCTTTTTTGTATGCTGTTTTGTTTCTGGTTGTTTTCTAATCTTCTTCTCTTCTTTGCGTTTGGTTTCTTAATCACAGGTCAGACCATCAGGTGGGTTGCCTCTATGAACTCGCATGTCAGCTGCAGGTCCTTTATGGTTCCCCATAGCATGCTCTGCACACTTTGCTCTTGAGGCCAGGTGTCTTTTTGAAGTTGTATGCAGAGTGGGCAGGTCTGCAGAATGTGCTGAGGTGTTTGTGGTCCTGTTTGACAGGCACACCATGGGGACTGTACAATCTTTATTTTATGCATGTGGGTAGTTTAGCCTGCAGTGTCCTGTTCGAAACGGAATATAGTTGTATGAAGGCTTTCTGTTGAGTCT